ACAAGCTTGTCCCAAAGGAAACATGAGAGCAGAAGACTAACAGGAGGGTACCCTAGCCGAGATGCTGTGACACCAGGTCTGCTTCAAAACAAAGACAGATGTGGACGCCATAGGACAGAGCTTATGACTGCTCAAAATAACAGCCCTCCATGCAGACTTTGGGGAAATACCGAGAATTAGACACAGCAGTATTTCGTAACCCTCCTGAAGGTCTCCTATGCTCCCGCTATGTAGTTAGCATTCGGATTTTGGTTTACGTTCTTCTGTATCTTTTCCAGAGTCTAGATCCTACATAGACACAGGCTGTTTTCAAGCCTGCCCTATCCAAGTAGCAACATGTAGCGGACAACCTTCCAGGTTAGCACACATGGATATCGCTTTTAATGTCTGCCTGCCATTCCAATAGAAAGCTAGCCATATCCATATTAGGACCTTTTCTATTCTTTTATTCTACTTTTGTTATTACAACTGTTGTGTGGGTTACTTTCTTTCTTTCGACAGGGTCTCAGTATGTTGAAGTTCAGGTTGGCCTAGAATTCACTCTGGAACCCAGGCTGACCTCACACTTGCTGAGATCCTCCTGCCTCAGCCTCCCAAGTGTTGGGATTACAAGAGTGTGCCACTACACTCAGCACAATCATCATGTTGAACTAAAGACTTTCTATTTTGTATTTTTATTTTTAGGGCTTTGATGCCTATCAGCACAATGGCCTCCAGAAAATGTGTGAGGCTGCCTGTTGTTATGCTCCTCCATCTTACTCAAAAGTACAGTCAAGGTTCCTCAGAGATCTACCTCTACTTTTCTACACCAATATATTCCCTCTATGCATCTTATTTTTAAATATAATGAATCAAATCTAAGGCTACTAAAATAAGTCATTATAAAAGACATTATTTTATGTATGACCAAAAAAGGGACACACATCAGTAGAATGATCCAGTCAGCTATGGTGGGACGTACCCTAATCACAACATATCTAAACACAAACAGCCTCAAGACGATCTTGGACTAAGTTCTATCCCCATGGGTCCTGGCCTCTGCTGAGCAGAAGAAGGAGAGTTAGTGAGTGAACTGTCATTTCTACCATAAGTTACACTGGCGGGCAGCTTTCTTTCCATTCTAAAGTGGGTTAGGCACATGTGTTTCTCTCTGGGAACTAGGAGATCCTTCGCCAACTTCAACATGTCTTTAACTTCAAAATTTCAGGGACAGGCAGGAGGCTGGCAGGTGCCCAGGAAGCGCGGCTCTCACCTGTGCAGTCAGGGTGTCCAGCGCGGACAGCGCGGACTCCAGGATGGGCAGTGCTCCAGCCAGGTCCGCATCGCACTCGTCTTTGATGGCCTTGGCTGCCATGGCCTGATCGTTGGCCACGATCTCGTCAGCTTTCACAATTTTTTCCGTTTTGGCGACTTCGATGGACTCCTTCTCGATGATCAGCATCATCTCATCCACCTCCTTGCTGGCCACCCGTAGCTGGGGCTGCAGCGCCTCCAGCTCCAACTGCATGGTGGCCACCTGCGAGGACGCGGAGTCCAGCTTGTCCAGGCCCACCTCATACCTCTTCTTCATTTTCATCACCTCACTAGAAGCACAAGGAGAGACGAGGGTGGGAGGAGCTGGTCCGACAGCAACCAGACTCCGGCGTTCTGAGCCTTGCGGGCTGTCTCGGGACATTATTAAAGGTGCGTGTGATTTTCCACTCATGTTACAATTTGTCCAAAAGTGGGAAATCCGTGACACCAGACTGTGCATGAGCACAACAGCCAGGCAGTCTGTCCTACGCGTTTTGTGGCTGCAGTATCTGAACTCAAAGGAGCAAAAGCACCAGAGGCCAGAGGCCAGGCAAGACGTCTGCTGCCTCAAAGTTAAACACGTCTTCAAAATTAATCATCTTATAAGTTGATTTGAAAACCCTATTTCTCCTTAAAACTTTTTTATAATCAAATAGTCTATTTTATTTCAAATAGACTTCAGTGCCCCCAAAACCTTGTTTGTATTGCTGCATGAAGAAAAAATTCTTTTAAGATGTATGATCTTTCTTAAAATAGGATTTTTAAAAAATTCGATACAGGGTCTTGCTACACAGTTCAGACTCATAGAGATCCTCCTGTCTCAGCCTGCCCAGTGCTGCGATTACAGGCATGCGCTACCACTTCTGGTTTCTGTGGCCAGGACGGTGCACCCAGGGTTCCAGGGCCAGCACAGCATGCGGTACCAGGGATCAAACTCAGGACTCTGTGCTATCCAGGCAGGTACTTAAGACTGCTGAGCTATCTCCCCAGCCCCAGGAATTGTTTTTTATTATGACAAAAGAGGGCTGGGGATATAGCTCAGTGGCATAAGCATCTGCCTGGCAAGTGTAAGATCTTAAGCTTGATCCCTGGTACCAGGAAAAAAAGAAAAAAAAAGACAAAAGAGGTGGACATGACAGATAACAAAGTCCAACACTGTGATGCAGAATGAGTATATAGTAATAACTGAACAGACATAATAATGTCACGCTCTGATGGACTTTTCAATTTAAGTTTTTCCATGAATTATCTACATTTACCTATATTCTCTCCTTAAAGATCAAATGGCCCTTTTTTGATATGTTCACTTCATTTTAGAGTTCTGGATATGTCATAGTGTTTCAGAGTAGAAAGTGACACATTTTAGGAACCCTCAGCAGGCCACAGGCTGGAGCAGGAAGCCACCCTGGGCTGGAAAGATAAGGGGAAGACAGTGAAAAGTCCATCTTCAGGAGAGGGAAGTGCAGGCAGGGTGCATTTTTGTCCCATGTCCCATCTATCTGAGCAAAGCTCCCAAAAGAAATACAGCCTAGGGCTCCATGTCTAACCCTGGCTCATATGTGGGTTTGGGCTCAGGTGACACTGGGCAGCCAGCGAGGAAGGCCTTGGTCCTGCCCAGGTTGGCATCAACACTGAGCTCTCCCATGGCCACTGGCTTCTGGTTGGTGACCCGAGGACCTACAGTCAATGACACGGATCTAAGGCACTAGCTACTAAGGAAAGAAGAGCAAGCACTAGGCAGGATTTGAGACAATAAACGTTTTTAAATTTGAAAGAAAAAAATCCTGACCAAATTTGTACAACAAATGAGAGTCATTGGGCTAGGGAGATGGCTCAGTGGAATAAGTGCTTGTCTGGCAAGCGCAGGTCCTGAGTTCAATCCCTGGTACCGCAAAAAAAAAAAAGGAAAAAAAAAAAAAAAAAAGGAAAAGAAAATGTCTACAAATCCAGGCACTTTAGGCATTCTTATAAGTTAGACCTCATGATTATCATCTTGCTTTCTTTAAATACTGTGAGTGCAGCACCAAGGCCCTGGCCAGAAGCGAGGGCCAAAGCTGAATCAGAGTCTCTGAGAACTTCAGTCCTCCCAGAGAGGGAAGTTAGGAAGAAAGAGCAAGAGAGAGAGAAAAGACCTCCAGTAAGTAGCAGAGCCTAAGGGCTGTGCAGGAAGGTAATGACCCCGAGAGCCAAAGAAATAACAAATCCAGGCAAGTCACACTACGCGCTGGGTCGGGGCGATGACCGCTGTGCTGTGCACAGGGGGAGAATGTCCTGCGGGTACGAGGAGAACGCATCGCAGGGCTTGCAATAGTGAGCCGCCCACTGGGAGGGTTAGAGACTGCTACAGACATATAGAGTATGAAGAAATGCATATTATTATTATTTTTATAACACATCTGCATCCAGTTGGTATTTTAAGTATTTTTTAAATCCGTAAGTGAACTTGTTCTGTTAGATTACTAGCTTATACTTGAAACTCCAGTAGAGCGGTTGTATATGGGGTCGTATAAGGTTTGTGCTTTCAGGGTACGAAGAAAACCTCATGGATTTTATAGAAAACGTTAAGACATTTAAAAGAATTTAAGGCTCCCAATATGATTAGCTTTGACTTACTAGACATAATTATTTAAGAACCTAGGAAAGTTTGATTTGTTAAATGAGAATTTAACAGAGAAATAAAATATATCAAAAATACAAAGTAAATATATATGCAGTCAAAAATGTTTAATTTTTGAATGAAACTAAATATTAATCAAAGATCACCTTAAAAGAGACCGCTAATATTTTCTAGGTTTTTAACTTCAGAGTTTAAAAATTTTTAACTTTGTAAACTTTGAAATTCTGTAATATACTAAGTATTAATTTTTAGAACCAAAGAAACTTGTGAAAAGTTCTCTGAAATCTCACTTTGCCACTTTTTTCTCGAGACGGGGTCTCCCTGACCCGCCAGGACTGGCATCATGCTCGCGTTCACCTTGATTGCCTGTGCATGCCACCACGCCCAGCGGCGCTCTGCCCTGCAGGTCTGGGTGTTTCGCACTGACAGCTTCACATGGGATCTCTCTAGCACAGAACGCAATCACCCGTGCATGTCAAGTGGCTGTCTCTCATGTTTCAGCTGTTTGGAGCCCCAAAACAAGACTTAAGCATGACCTAACTACTGATCCAAAATAATCACTCTGTCATAGAGTTTACCAAAATCACTGTCAAAGAGCCCTGGGGTCTTTCCTGCCAGGAACACTTTCCCTCTTTCAATAGACACGGTTATGTATTTGTAATGTGGTGGGCAACACGTCCATGTGTAAGGATAAGACCTGCTTCCTACCCGCAAAACATGGGTGGATGAAGTCATTCAAAGACTTAACATTTTGCACACAAATATCTTAAGTACCACAGCTTATATAAAAATATCAAATTTCATCTTTACCTTCTTTTCTTTTCTAACAACAGTTTGAAGGTGGAGATTAATTCGAGATAAGAGGTGGGAGTCACATAGTTGTATCTCTGAAGCTCATTATAGAAGGATGTTGATAAGTTTATAGTCGAAGTGTGGAAGCTCTTACACATGTCGATGCAGCCATCGCGTATTTCCACTGACATTTCAATGTCTTCCAAGAAGCGGGAGGCGACTGCCTGCAATGCGTCCTCGGGCCACGACTGAAGTGGAGAAAAGCGCTTTAGTGCTTCCTCAAGGTCACTCCTTTGCATGCTCAGGGCTGGACATCAGTGGCCAGCGCAGGCCGCGTGGCCTGTTAGGAAGACTCCCCACTCTGGGCTAGGGAAAGGGACTAGGAATAGCACAGATGCAAGGAGGAGTGCAGGAACTAGGCTGACAGAATACCTGTTTCCATGTGCTTTTCACTGGTATTATTTTAATTTTCCCAATATTTCTTGGGGGTAAATATTAACTTTTCCTCCTAAACACTAGACTCGTATAAATAACTGTCTTCTTGATTTCTCTGGAGGATTTGTGGCCACAACTTGTGGACCCAGGCCACAAAGCTCCCACTATAATGTGGAGAATGCATTGTAATGCATTGCTAAGACCAGAGGGAGAACTGAACTATTTTGCAGTGAATTCATCACTCTCCTTTGCTACGCTCCTCTGCCACCCCCAATATCTGTTCTCTTCCTTTGTCTGCTCAAGTTTGCGCATTCTGATGCAGGAGTTTACTATAAAAAATGTCCCCCTGACTCCTTTGGGTTTTGTTAGGTTTGTCTACTTGAGACCAAAGAGTGGAAGAAGCAGCAGGTGGAGGTGGAGTAGCTGGGCTCCAGGTTTTGGGTTTCAGTGGGGCAGTCCTCTTTCCACAGCTCAGGCTCCCTCTGAGATGCAGTAACCTTCTTCCCCCTTACAGCCCTTTTATACCCAGCTGTAGTAACAACATCCTGCTGCTGGTTCACCCCTTCCTGGGTCTCTAGCCTCCCTTCTCAGTTGCCTTAACCCAGCCTAACTTTTCTCAGTGAAGTCTTCAAATACATTCTGCTTCCTTTCAGGACTCTGCTTGATATACACAATTCTAAAACTTCCTACAATATATTGCAATTGTGACTATATGTGCTCACATACTTTTACATTAAATGACTTTTATAACTGCAATTACATAAAATGCATCATGATGGATCTGAGAAATAAGTAAACTACATTTTTGAGGGGAGTCTATAAAGTAAGTTCAACAGTAACAAAAACTGAACATTTCTTGAAGTCTATCTAAAGTATATATAGTGCTACCTGAAACCAGTCAATGGTACAGCAGTTGACAAGAGCAGGGAACTTCCTAAGACGGTTCCGAAATGCATCTCCGATGGGGCTCATGGCGAGCACCACGTGCAGCTGGTTGCGGCAGCGATCAATGAACATGTTGAAAAGAGCCACAGGGCTTCCATCAGTCTGCTTGGTCTTGTCCCGCTGGCGATCTAACTGACGCATTTTTTCACAGATCTCTTGCTTCTCATCCACTGCAAAGAGGTTTGGAACCTCCCCAGCATTCAGTAGATTATTCACATCTTCCAGAAATGTCTCTTTTTTAATCTGAGTATCTGTAAAAAGGAAGACGCCCTGCATGTCTCCTTCGGCACATTTTCTTAAGATCACTTTTAAATCTTCGCGCCACTCATTGTTCCCATAGCTCTTGGAGATTTCAACATAGAAAACAGAGTAGTCACACATGTGGGCAGCCAGCCGGGTGACAGACTGCCTCCCACTGCCCCCGACGCCAACCAGCAGAGCGTGGCTGCGGGGCTGCTTCAAGATCCGAGAGATTCTGCTGATGTGTTCTATGGCGAATCGGAATAAGACGAGGTTCATGGGTTTCTTGCTCATGTTGTTGTACTCCTCCAGGTGCATTTCCACTATCACCCGGAGGTTATCCACGTTGGCCACTTCCCTGTAGTTTGTATCTTCCCGCTTGGGATCATGGAAATCACAGAACATTAAGCTTCGTAGGTCATCTTCTTGTACTATGCCGTCGTTATCAAAATCCAAACTTCTAAAAAGCTCATGGAAATCTTCATTCATGTGGTCTTTTAAAATTTCTTGAATGTAGTTGACAAGCCAGCTTCTGTCTGCATTATCCAGAAGGCGATCATAGTACACTCTAAGGACCTGCATAGTTTTAAAAAGTTATTTTAGGGGTGAATTCCTAGCTTCAATTTTTTCTTATTTCTAGAATATGAGTTACAAAGTAACATAACAACACTCAGAAGACGTCTATAGGTTTGGCAAAAGCATGGTCAAATTATCTTGACTAACCTGCAGTAATGTTTATTTTAAATATCAGGTTCAGCCATACTGACTTGGAATACTAAGTAGTCACATTCACCCATCAATAAAAAAAGGCTATTCGGTGAACTGACATCGATCGTGTAGCTATGAGGAGAACAGGAGCCACAAGAAGGCCAGCGGCAGCCTTTGCTGGTGACCTAGCTGTGGTCACAGAGCTGGGCGCTGCTGTCCAGGGTTTTCCCCTCACTTCTCATGACATTCTGTCTACGACAACATTTTAAAAAAGTTATTGGCAATCAGAAGATATTATTTGCTTTACGTACATTTTCTAGTGAAAAAGGACACATCTTGGTTTAAGGAGGAATTGTTTTGCTGTCTGCTAATTACTTTTGTTGGAAGTCCCTTACATGCACATAATAGGACTGCAGAAAGGAATAAGGCCTGCTGTACACAGCAACTATGTCCCTGAGGTATTACAACTGCCTCGGGCTTACACTCTGGATTGAATTGTGCCCCTCATCTCCAAATTGATATGAAGTGTGTTCAAACTATACAGTGAATGCTTAAAGATAATTACAGTAAAGGACAACGTCACTAAACCCCTTCCAAATACCCTCACTCTGAACTCATCCCATCATTCTTACCACTTTCTGAAGCGGTTCTGGAGTACTCTTTCCTGAGTGTCTTTAGTTGTGCAGTCACAGCTATCTGATATCCTGAACCGATTCAAAACGCTGACCTTTCAGGGTCATTTTGACCTGGGGAGGATCCAGAAGTCCCAGTGCCAGATTCAGTCAGTACGGAGGAGGGGGATGCGCAGGAATGCTCTTACGGCCTGCCTTTCCTTGGGGTGGTGCTCAGCAGCAGCAGTCACTGCACTTGTGATCACACCTCAGAAGACACTCCCAAGAGAGGCCACTAAAAATGCTTCAGCAAGTGGCAAGAATGGTGGCATCAAGTGAATGGAAGTGGCAAGAATGAGGTTCGAAGTGAGGGAAGCATCCTGAGCAGGACCGATGTGAATGTGTCTCTTACTGTGAAAGTATTTATTTATTTTTGTATTTTTAGTAAGGTTCTATAGGGTCTCACTATGAAAATTGGACTTGTAATGATCCGCCTGTGTTCAGCCCCCCAAAGAGCTGGGATTACAGGCATGTGCCACCACACCCAGTCTCAATTGCTGCCTCAGTGCACCCCGGGGGCGGGGGCAGCAAGGCAGGCTGGGAATCAAACTCTGGTCACTGCGTCTGTCTAAGCAGGCGCTTTAATCCACTGAGCTACTTGGCCGGCCCTGTAATAATTTTTATTTAAACACTGAGCACATGTTCTGGTCACATCTCATACTGTGAAGTTCTGAGTTTCAATGTCACTATATTTGGAGAGGGCCCTGAAGTAGGAGATGGAGGATAAACAACATCATAAGGTTGGGCCCTTGGTCCAATAGGACCAGTGACACCAGCACGCTCTCTCCTCTGACCCTCGTTTCCTCTGCTCCTGTCACAAATGCAAGGCCACCTTGATTTTGGATCTTCAGCATCCAGAATGGTGAGAAAACTAATCTGTAGCTAAGCCCTGGGCCTCAGCATTTCCTCACGGCATTTCAAGTAGACAGGTCCTCACGTGGTATAAACAATGCAGGTTTTTGTCAGCAGGACGGTGAAGTCTGACTCAGCCCTGGGTTTTGGGCACATCACGGCAACTAGCTGTATCAGCCCCTTCAGCCATAAAGTGGGAGCACCATTATCTACTTTGCGAATCTCACAGATCTGTGCCCAAAGTGACAACATGCGGAAACAAATGTTTTAGAACCAAAACGTGTAATTGTTATAAACTACCTCAGCTTCGGGGTAATGATAGTGCTGCAGAAGCCTGGTTTTAGTCACCAAATCAATGCTTCAGTAGCACTGTCCCCTTTCCTAACAGTGGTGGCTGAATATGGTAGGACGCAAGCCTCTTTCAACCTCAGCCAGTTCAAAAGCTGTTTATAGAACCATCAGCTTTCCAGCTGAAGTCTGCTTTGGACTGAGGCCCTGAAGACATCAGACAATGCGCCCCAGGAGAAGGCAGCCACACTAAACCACCCCATGTACCAGGATCGCCACTCAACCACGACTCTAACATGTTGATATCTTGGGGCAAGCTCCAAGAACCCACGGCCCGTCTCTCCAAGATGGTCACACACTGCACAGGCAGCCTCTGAGGCACATCCTCAAATGCAGACCCCAGGCCCCTGGGGGCTTTCGGGCCACAGCGCAGCACCCTTGGTGCCTGGGGCATCCAAGCTCCTAGCCCCGCTTCCTTTTGTGGGTCAGGGCACACTGTTAAGGACACCGTGCTGGGGGCTCTGCATATCCACAGCCCTTGTGGGCACCTGGAGATCAAATCCAAGCTCCTAAACGTTCACACCACCTCCGCAGGCCCCTCTTGTCCACATTCTGGGTCCTTGATGCGCCCTCTGCAACTGGGACTGCCGCTCTACCACCATGTCTCACATTTCTATTTCTTATTCTTTTTGAGGCAGGGTCTTCCTTTGTAGCCCAGGCTAGCCTTGCATTTGTCATGGTCCTCCTGCCTCAGCCTTCCAAGTGCTGGGCTCACAGGTACATGTCACCATGTCTGGCACTTCCCACATTTTAAAAAGTTAACATGTCAAACTTTCTATTATAAATCTAGATGGCTGCAAAGGACATAACTTCTGGCACCCTTATACTGTAATTCATGTTGAGTGATTAATTGCAGATTTTTAAACTAAAGATAAATTTCATATCATATAAAATTCATCCTTTTTCTCAGTGTTGGAATAAAATCGGGAGCATGTTACTTGCTCAGCAAGTATACTTCAGCCCAAAATTCACTCTTTTAAACGTATACCGCAATGAGTTCAGAATAGGTACAAAATTGTAGGACTATCCATTGTTTTCTACTTCCAAAATTTTCCACAATCCCCCGAAGTCTGGTACCTGTGAGAGACACTCCTCCTCACCCCCTTCCGCTAGCCTTGACTACTAGTGTGCTTATTCTGTGCTTTCCGTATAGTTGGGACCATATGTGATCTTGGGTCTGGCTTCCATTAGCGTAACAGTCCCCAGGTCTGTGTATGACACAGGACACATTGCCTTGCCACCCAGTGTTAGGGCTGAATAAAGCTCCACTGCGTGAACAGGTAGCACCGCACCTGTCTGCCCACCTACTTACGGGTACCTGAGTTGTCTCCACTTTGCTTTGTGTGGCTATTCATCAGTTCTATGGGGCACACAGCTAGTTTTGGAGGCATAAAGCTGTCTCACTCGCATTCTCTCTAGCTTCTCCAAGGCTCTAACCATCCTCCCCTTTTTGCAAAACGGAAAAGGGAAGCAAGAGATGGAAAAAGAGAGGAGGGAAGGGGATGGCAGGGTAGGGAAGGAGGTAAAGGAATGAGAAAAAGACTGAAGATGCACTATGTGCACGTTGGTTCCCTGTGAGGAATGTGACTGCTACATGCTGCATGTGTGGGTTGATAAAAAGTATTAGTTATTCTGCACTGAAAACACCCAAGGACAGAAGAAAGAAGTGGATTACATCAAAATTAAAATTTTTCATGCTTCAAAGGATATTATCAAGAACGTGAAGACAATGCACAGAATAAAAGGAAACACTTGTAAGTCAGCGATAAGTGTGTACTGTCCAGGTTGGATAAGGGGCAGATGCAGCCTGAGACTTAGTAGAGGACAAAGGAAGAGACATACAGGTGTCCCAGAAGGTCTTGGAGGATGTTCCACACCCTTGGTCACTAGGGAAACCAAAACCACAGTGAAGGCCTTTCACATCACAAGCACGGTTGTAATCAGAATGAATGAGAAAAACTACGGGCGTGGCACACATCTGTGAGCTGCTCACACGAGCCAAAGCAACAGCCTTCCTACAGACCAGAGCTGTACAGAGGAGCCCAGCAGCCTCACCTGCCATCATGCTGGGAACAAGAAGGAGGCCCTGCCCCAGTCCCGGTGCAGCCTGGCCTGAACCCCAAGCGCTCAGCCTCCAGAAGGCGAGCAACGAAGCACTGCTGCTGAGCCACTGGCCTGGACGCCTCTGCTCCAGCGACCCAAAGCAAGGCCCCATGGCGGTGGTGCAGGGCCGCCTCCCTGCCTGTCCTCTCCCTTTCACCTGGTGGCATCTGGCAGGCATCCCACCTGGTCCTCGCTGCAGGGGGTGGTTCACAGCCTCAGGATGCCCTGTGCCCAGAGCTCTCGGCAACAGTGCTGCAGCCAACGGGCGGGGCAGCGTGGACGGCGCTGGGGTCCACTCTGCAGGTGCGGGGGTCAGGGCGTCTAAGACGCCTCCAGAAGCTGGCTCCTCCCTCGCCTGGGCAGGCTTGTGGCATGCAGCCAGCAGCTGCTCCTTGCCGGGTTCCTTGGCCGCACTGCTCAGTTACAGCACCTCTATCATTTCTGTACTAAGATGGCTCGTGCTTAGGCTTTTTCCTTCCACCCTCCCCACAGTCCTTGACCATTTAAAAATGGAACCCTTATTTTTGTCACATGATTTTTTGCCTTCTTCCTCTTCCCTTTCACTTTTAAGTGTTCATAACTTGTGCATCTCTAATCCAAAAGGAACTTGATACACTTCATGTTGTCTCTCTGCTCGCCAAGTATGACTTCGCAAACTGATGAGTGAAATTTCTTTTTTTAATCTTGTAATAGTACAAATAAATAATGTAAATTAATGCATTTACTTCTAAAAAATCTCCTTAAAATATTCTATTTAAATTTTTTTTTTTTTCGATACCAGGGATCGAACTTGGGACCTTGCACTTCCAGGCAGGCACTTATGCTGTTGAGCTATATGTCCTGCCTTCTGTTTTTTATTGGTACATGTTTGTGGCACATAATGATTACATTTATAGGCATCAGTCCACAGACACGACATTTCTAATTCTTTTTTTTTTTAGATTGGGTCATGCTATGCAGTTCAGGCTGGCCTTGAATTCACAGCAATTCTTCTGACTCAGCCTCCAGAGTGCTGGGATTACAGAAATGTACCACCACACCTGGCCTCTTGATTCACTTTTTATAGACTTCCCTCTCCCCTTCCCTTTCCTTACATCTCTTGGATCCTGTGCATGTATTTCACAATTCCCCCAAGGGTTAAGTCACTTTAAAGAGCACCCCCCCCCTGTCTTTCTGACACAGGGCTTCACTTTGCAGTTCAAGCTGGCCTTCAGCTCTCTTTGTAGCCCAGGCTTAACAAACTCTGAGCAATCCTCCTGTCTCAGCCTCTGGAGTGCTGGGATTACAGGCATGTGCCACCACACCCAGCACTTTAAAGACTTATAAATCAACAAAAATTTCTTTAAAGTGAAAAGCTAGACATTTTAACCCTAAAATAAAATGTCTTGGAATTAAGCATTTAACAGACTATCCTGATCACTGGCCTTCACAGTACGAAATAGCTGCATGCACTCCAACAAAATAAATTGCTAAATCTTTCTTTTCCCTTAGTTGTTGGTATGGTAAACACTGTTTCTTGCTTAATTATATTTTGATAATGGGGAACGTTACCTCATGAACCCAGAGACGCTTCATCACTTCTTTGGTTTCTGCCGTCTCTGGTCTTGACAGACAAACCCCCTGAATGACACGGGAGAAATCCCGGAGATTGAACAAGTAGTGAGATTTAGCGGGCGTAGGCAAGAGATTCTTCATGGCTTCTTTATATAGGGTCATTGTGCCATATACAATTTGCGTAGTCAAATCTAGAAATTCATCTGGAAATTTATAACTTAAGAAAACATTAAATTAAAAAATTAGAAACACAGAATTACATTACATAACTGATAGTTAGCATGACCAAACCGATGGCTAAGTTGACAAACCGATGTACAACATCTCGTTCTGCTGCTGTGACAGCTGCTCTCCACTCCGCGCAGTGCTGTGCCCGGAGGGCCCCGTGCCTGGGCAGGACTGGCTTACTGAACCCAAAACCACTTCAGCAAGGGCAGAAGCACCAGGCCAGGCGCACACTTCTGAGACAAATGCTGTCTAGCTCTTCCACCCAACTGCCACATGCAGAACTGATAGAGGACACTGGTGAAATGAGAGTTTCCAGAGAAAAAGAAGGGTCAACAGTATGGTTCGGGTGGAAAGACGAGGCCTGCATGTCCTTCAGAAAGATTGCTCGGTTTGACTTCCAGCCAGCCAGGGAGCTGGCTGCTGCACCAGCGGCATGCAGGGGACGGGTGGGGCTATCGCAGCCGGAGGCACTGCAGAGTCACCCTGATGAGGCACAGGCACGGGGAGCCCTGGGGTGTTAACTTCCGGGACAGCCGAAGCTGTGAGTGGCCTCATGTGTTCCCCTCCCGCCTGGAGGCTGAGGCAGGAGAACCAGGTGAGCAGCCCTCCCGTGGCTGGGGCTGCCCCAAGGAGGCCATCCCTGGAGAAGCGCCACTCACACTAACACGGTTCCAGAGACCTCATCCCTTGCAACGGGAAAGCACACAGTCCTCTGACGACTTACCAGATTTTTAGATGCCAGGTCAGGATCCTCGAGAAGATTGCAAACATGGACTTATCACTAAATTCATTGATCGTTATGATATTGAAATGTCTCATGTAGCGAGGTGTCACTGGATTTCGGCCACCACCTAAAGATAAGAAAGGTCAACTCATAAGGAAGTGGCTAGAATGTTCCACAGCAAGTGCTCGGATCTTTCACAGCTCAAGATAGTCTGAGAGATGGCAGAGTCACGACACAGAGTTAGAACAAACCGACTGATATCAGAACTATTTTTTCCTCAGACTCAAAATGTTGCTTTGTTACCTGCATCACCTGAATGAGCTCAACTAATTGCACGTAACCTTGAGGAAGCTTTACGTTAGTAAAGGAGAGCGCGCCACATAGAGCTGCTGCCTGAGTTCTCTGCATCCCACAGCCCAGGGCATAAACGCTGGCTTACAGCCAGCATTGGGATGAGGCAGCGCACAGCGCTACCAGGACCCTGGCACCGCCTAACCTTCACGCCTTCTGCATCACCGACATTTTCCTCGACACAGATGGGTCGCCTAGGTGTCCTCCTCAGCGACCTGGAATTCATTTCCCCAACACCAGTCTATGCAGCAAATTTAGCTACTTTGCTGGCAGCTTGTATTTTTCAAAATTGGGGGATTATGTCACTTTCATAAAATTGTTTTCAAACATGAGGCTTTAGGCAAAGAGGCTTTAGGTCTTGCAAGTGTGGAGGGCTGGGGATGTAGCTCAGTGTGTCTGAGCACAGGCTTTACACGGACAAGGTCTTGGTCTCTAGCACCAAATACAAAATAAAATGCAACACATAAGACTAATTACATTTGCTTTTATAAAGGAGATCCTATAATGGAAACCTCTGGCAAGAGTGGCTTAAAAGTGTATAGTATAGGGCCAGGGAGATGGCTCAGTGGAATAAGCACTTCCCTGGCAAGCGCAAAGGCCTGAGTTCAATCCCCGGTTTCTCCAATAAATAAATAAATAAGTGTATAGTATATCTTTAGTATGTATCTTGTACAACAATCCAGGTTCATGTTCAATTTTTTTAAAAATTATTTTTGAGATAGGGTCTCGCTATGTAGTTTAGGCTGGCCTTGAGTTCACTCTGTAGCCCATGCTGGTTTCGAACTTGCAACAATCCTCCTGCCTCAGTCTCCTGAGTGCTGGGATTACAGGCATGTGCCACCACGCCTGGCTCATGGCCAATCTTTAAAGGCAGATAACTGTATTTTGTTTCTATCACTGAATTACACTGCCCTGTTTCTAAAAACGTGCCAATGTGTGGCACCCTCTACTCAAACCCAGGGGTCGTAGGCTCTACACATCTAAGCAGCTGTGATGTGTGTGAATTTGTAAGCTGAGGTTCAGCCCTGATTCACCTGGACATTTGAAAAAGCAATGAAAAGGCTGGGGACAGAAAGGTGAGGGGTCTTCCCCAAGTCTGCCTCCACCTCCTCCTCCCTGAGGTTATTCACAGACAGTGGTACTTCTAGAAGTTGGGTCCCAAGAAGAAGACCGCCCTTGGATTTGGCCTCCTTTTCTGTCCAGTGCCCGAGCAGGCAGGGAAAAGTGGGCACGAAAGTGCCAGTGATCGGCTTGGGGAAGAGCTCCTGCCACCCAGCATCATCTAGCCTTTTATCTACAAGAGGAAAAAAAAAAAAGTCTAAATGGACCAGGGAGTATGAGGACAATTACTGACTGGGGGCAAAGTACTCTGTGAAAGGTCAGCTGAAGGTCAGGGCTTGGGGTCAAATATGAGAGACAACACCCAGCGGTGTATTCAAATAAAAATGTAGAAGTAGAATGCAGCTATCTTAATGTAAAAACCAAGGTATTCCACTCAGACATATGACCCATCTTTTTTTTTTTTTTTTAGCCTGATTCTGTACATCTCATTTACAGAGCCTCGGTGTCTCTTTTGTACACTGCACCTTGTTTATCCAGCACTGTGACCTTTGTTGGCTGTACCCTGCTGTACCGCAGCTTTATGCTGCTACACATTACAGTTCTGCATGGTGCAGGGTGATGCAGACAGAAGTGAAGGCACCAAGGTGGCATTGCCGTGGCTAGGTCTCGGTTCTGAATCTTGCAGCACATGCACTATGTACAGATTGCTCATTTAGGGACCAGTTCTTTTAATGACTTGATCTTAGGTGCCTGCAGAATATCGGTACCGGCTGAGGTCAGGAAGAGCACACCTAAAAAGTTCTACTTCCCTGAGTCATGCCATGCTGGATATGTCAGCAGCAAGCTTTTTATCTCCCTAGAGAGTCCTCTGAATTTACATATTTCTCAGTGGAAAAGATGAAGTGTCCTTAAGGGTTCTTTTTGCCATTTCACAGGTAGAGCCCCTTAGCGGCCAGTCTAAACTCTGAGATGGACAAGGATGGGACTTCATGGGCTTGGGGCGGGAGGGGGGGGTCTCTGAAGCCAAGTTATTCTGCACAGTTTATGTAGGAGGAAATGAGCTCGCCTGGGTGATACATCTGGGTTCTCAGGATGCAGGGATGGAAACACCAAGCCAGATCCCAGAAAGTGGGGTAGAAAAGAGTTCAAAGGGTTGGCCTGTGAATGACCCAACCAGGGCCCCCCACTTCCCAGTGTCAGTCACTGTGGTGCCTGAGGTCAGGCGGGCGCACAGCAAAGGTATACACACAAAACACTAACTCAGGAGCCAGCGAGGGTTCTCTTTCCCCAGTCGCTTCTTTGGATACAGCCGGAGTGCTCTTCCATCTTAAAAGTCTCTGCCCTGGGACACGCACCTGGAGGCCCCATAGCGCACATGAGCTGCATGTCCACCAGCTTAATCATGGAGCAGTCTTTGAGGTCGTACCAGTTCCAGTGATCCAGCCACTGCCTCAGCAACTCGATGGGAGGCTGAGCCCCGTAGACCTCCCGAGCAGGCATGTTGACGTCATCTACAAAGACAACCTGGGAAAGCAAGGCAAAGGGGTCCTGGAAAACGCACGCACATCAACACAGCACCCCATTCGCTTAAGGCAAGCTATCGCATTATTTTCTTCTAGTAAACTACATAGGTAGGAAGTGATCATTTACTTTCCACACAAGGATAACATATTTAGCTTCCACTGGGAGACAGTTGGGAGATAGTTTTCCTATTCCTTATTCCTCTAGAAACAGGAAGACGTCATTACTAATCTTTCCAGGTTAATAGTGTAGGACTTTTTAACCCTTTCACGACTGTTCACAATATCTTGTATCTTTATTCCTTCTGCAACACTGAAATTCATTAAAAAGCTGCCTGCAGGTGGTTGTAGCCTTTGAGATGTGAGTGTACGGCTGAGAACTGTGTACTTCGCAGAGCAACAGAGGTTAAGTTGGCTGGCAGCTGAGTTTAAAGGTCAAGAAAAGCAACCAGCAAAGACCCTGTTGGGAAAATGTTAGGAAAAGAGAGGGGCAGATAATATTCCAAAGGAATACTCTAACTTTCAGTTTGATGAGCAACAGCTGGCTTTTAACGTCAAAGTGCCTAGTGCAAGTGGGGTGCGGGGGTACACATCAGGGGTACACATCCATGAGTCCAGCTGCCCTAGAGGCTACAGCACAAGGCAGCAGGATTGCAAGTTTGAGGTCAGCAGGACAACACAGAAAGACCAAGTTTCCAAAAGTATGTGCAGTATACACAGAAGTACAGTTGGTGTTCCAGTTTACATCTAAAGTGTGCCCCCAAACTCCCACTGTGGAGATGGGCTTTTGGAGAACGATTAGATCACGGGGCGCTCCGCTCATCTGTAGGTCAGTGTGTTGACGAGCTCACAGCTGCATGAGCTAGTAAAGGGCAGGGCCTGGTCAGAAGAGGTGGACCACTGGGACACAGCTGGATGGGTGTGCTCAGCCCCCCCCCCACTGCTTCCCGGCTGCCATGGGCTGAGCAGCTTTGCTCTGCCGGCCCTTCCACCACGTTGGTCCTGCCTGGGAGCCAGGCCATGGACCGAACCCTGTGAACCGGGTGCCAGATAAATCTCTCCGCATTTCACCTTCACATGTTGGGTATTTTTTCCCAGCTATGAGAACTTGAATAATACAACCAGTTGCAGCAAATTTTAAAAATCTAAATTTGTGATAAGCAGAACAAAAATATCTGTCCTCAGGGTACGTGGCTTCCTTGTTCTGAGGACAGCAGTACACTGGAGTAGGACCAGTATTTTATTATGAATACAGAAGAAGAAAACTGTTACCATTATCTTGCCCAAAGGAGGACCAAAAACTCCCTTTCTTCTTTTGTCCAGTTTTGACATAATGATATTCTGGGTTTGAGCTGCTGTAGTTTGTGCTGAGAAGTTGATGATCAGAGGCTTGTAGATTTCCTTATGGAGGTGATTTAAAAGAAAATTCTACACAAGAGGAAACGATAAGTCAGAGTGAACATTATTTTGACATTACAGGATAAACAGTAAGCATCACTGGTGATGGACTCATGTTCAGCCATTCACGTCACAACAATGCAGAGAGAGGTGGTGTCTAAGGAGTGTCTTTCTGCTTAAACACCAAGTGATCTTTCCGTAAGTGAGAAGGCTTAACTTACATAACTGAATTTTCACAGTGGAATTCACTGAAACAGACACCGTAAGTAAGATGCGTGTCAGGATGAGGCTACATCTGAATTTCCCAAGGAAATTCTCAAAATAGTCTTGCTTCTCCTCACCTTACCTCGTCTCTCTCTCTGCCTCAAGAGTTCCCACAAGGGCATGTTCTTTTTTTTTTTTTGGCAGAACTGGGGATTGAACTTAGACCCTTGCGCTAGCCAGGGAAGTGCTTATTCCACCGAGCCATCTCCCCGGCCCCAAGGGCATGTTCTTTCCCTAATTAGAGGCCAATCTGTGAGAGAATATTGAGTAAATTGCATGTTCCTAATAAGTACCATCAACCATGAACATTTACAGATAAAAGCGCAAAGGTGGAGCATTTTTTGCCTTTATGGCAAACCTTATGCACATTAACTGCTTCCAGAATTCACCTTGATTGTTTACAAGATACTACATTATTAGCCCAAAATACTAGGGGTGGTAAAATAGTTCAAGCAGTTCCCCTGTCACAACACTATTATGCAGTGAACATTATCAGAACTAAGGAAGTGAAAAGTCTGAAAGCACACTTGGAAATATTAACTTATTTATCAAGGTGACACAGTCTAAAAAGGAAGCATGATGGTGCCAGGAATAACCCACACAGCACCCACGTCGGGGTCCTGGGAGGCAGAACACAGAACCGGCAGGAGGGTCGGGCGGCAACTTCCATGCCTTGCCCCAGCCCAGGGAGAGCATTGCAAAGCTTTTATTTTCTTTCCTATAGAAGGAGCCTACTGTAAAATGGACACTCTTTAACACCTTTCAGCTTTGTTCACATTTATAAGTACAAAAGGTAGGAATGGCAAAGCATAAAATAAAGATAGAAATATATTTTCATGATTTAAATATCTATTTTCATGACCGTCAAATTCAAGTATAAGCAAGAAATTATTTCAGGAGAAAAATACTTTGAAAAAAAGCAAACCTATCAATTTTTTTAATAAGCTATTTTGAACAGCTACTATAATGAAGAAATCTCATGACAAGTCTAGGATTCGTATAATTTTTATGCATTATTGGCTTGAGACTTTCTTTTCTGTACTTTAGGGAAGGGTCTTCAGTGTGTTCAGGGTCTCACTACTAGATCAGACACGTAGTGATCTGTCTGTTTATAGCCTCCCAAGAGCTGGGATTACAGGCATGCACCACCACAGCCAGTCTCCACCACCATCTCAGCTTGCCCTGGGGGTGGGGCCGGCACAGCAGGCCTGGGGATTGAACCCCCGGTCCCTGCACCTGCTTGCAGAAGCTTTAATCTGCTGAGCTATTCGGCTGGCCCTCGAGACTGTTTCTGAAACATAGTTTCACTTTGTTTATCTTCATGGTATATAGACTGTAAATGTTTCATTATAATGCAAGTCAAATTGTGGGTAACTAATATGTTTTTGTTGGATGGATGGATGGATGGATGGATGGATGCATGGTTTGTGGATGGATATATCAATGGATGGATGATTGGATGGATAGATAAACAAAACAAGAATGAAAATGAGTCTTCAACACCTTCCTAAGTGTTGGCATGAAAGTCTTGCAGTGAGCACTGAGACCACTGAAAATCAGAACTAAATGTAACTATCACATATAAGTGGTTATGAAACAAATCTCTGTAATTAGTTTTTTAAAAATAATAAGAGCTGAAATATAAAATTAAAAATAATTAGCAATAAAAATGAGATAGGAGGGGCTGGGGCAATAGCTCAGTAGAATAAGCACTTGCCGGCCAAGAGCAAGGGCCTGAGTTCAATCCCCAGTTCCACAAAAAAAAAAAAAAAAAAAAAAGAGATTGGTGATGAAGACAGGGGATGCAGTTAGAATACTGTACTCTTCCACATTTAAGTAGATAAGAGGAGCTGGAAAGATAGATCAGTAGCATAAGCACCTGCCTGGCAAGCGTAAGGTCCTGAGTTCAGTCCCTAGCACCTAACCCCCCCCCAAAGCCCCAACAATTTACTTCTTAAGAATACAGGAAAGTAGATCACAGGGTAAATATTTTCATTGATACTATTACTAATTTTAAAACAATTTACAGAAAATTACAGACCTGAGAAACATCCTTCAGTGTTGTAAATTTAAATAATGCAAATAGAATTTTAAATAATTTTCACAACTGTGTAAGTCAACAGGAACAAAATAAACACAGTAACATATGAAGAAATTAAAGAACATTAAAAACTAAACAGAGATATAAATACAGAAGTATGACTCTTCATTGCAGTTTACCTAAGATAAGATAAATCTGCACAAAAGGACAAAGACTAACACACACAAATACAATATATAGTTACATTTGTATCCTTAAAGTACAAAATATTGGCAGAAAGAGGCCATAAATGAAAGCCAAAAGAAAGCAGAAAGAATGTAATGAAAAGACAATTAATACACTATCGTTCTGCGTATTGATTGTCATATATATTATAAGATCATCAAATGTTCCTTTAAAGTCAAAAGTTGACAAAATTGATTAAAAATTTATTAACAAGTACATTCTGACTTTTTAGCATGATGCTTTAAAATTAAACAAATATTATGTTTTCAGAAACTGTCACCAGGTAAGGCTTATTCTTTAGTTTAAATGAATTATCAGTGTCTCTTACAATTCTCCCACAGATAAACTTCCACTTGGCCCACTGAAAAAAACTACATGTTTTTTGATGTTAACATATAACACTCTGAAAATTAAGTTCATATCAATAAAAACTTATTATTCTTATCAAATCAGTGACCAATTTATATGCATTAATTAAAATTATTATAGGAAAATTCTGTAGGTACATAAAAGGGAAAATATTCAAATGCTAATAGACCTGACATTTAAATGAGGAACAAAATGAACACTAAGTATTTTATTTTGTGACAGTTACTTTAGCAAACCCATCAGCAACCTAAATTCTGGAGCACTACACACTTGGCCTGAGCCTAAGGTGTTAGCTCTTCAGTATACTTGTTCTCAGCCAGTGTCCTTAGTCAGTCTCTCTATTCTAAAGTGTCATCATCATTCGCTGCATTGTTATGCAACTTCAGAGTGCTACTTGTTTTTCAATATTTATTTAAAGTATATATCTAGACATGTAATAATTTCAAGAGAAAAATCACTTGAAATACTAAAATTTCTGCTTTAACACTTCAATAAAGTAAAATGTAAGCATATATATTGAACATCTTATATGAAGAATTTCTCCACTCAATTACTTTATGAAAATGAAACCCATGCAATACTGTCTCAACATATCTTGCTTTATTGAAGAAGAAATATCTGGCTCTCAGCCTCACAGCTGGATTATTCACAATCCAACCAAGCCTTAACAACTGGGACATTGAAATGTCCCTTGAAGATTCCTGAAGTCAGTATAATTTTGCTGAACAACTTAATTCTTACTGAAAAAAATGAGGAATTTTACTGCTAAAAATTTAGGAATTGTTCATCAGTAAATAAAAAGGGATGAGAACAAAATTTACCTATTAAAAAAGTCCACTGTAATTTTATGTATCAAGCAGAATACCAGAAAAGTTAGGAACTTTAATAAGTTATCATTAAAAAATGATACTCTTGGGCCGGCCAGATAGTTCAGCAGATTAAAGTGCCTGCTTAGCCAGATGCAGGGACCGGGGTTCAACCCCTGGCATGCCGTGCCTGCCCCACCCCCGAGAGCACTGAGACGCAAGTGACACTGGGCGTGGTGGCAAACAGGAGGACCACTGCAAGTTCAGTCTGCAGTGAGACCCTGCAGGCCCTATACTAAACACACTGAAAAAATGATATTCTTGAAATCATCTTATGAAATAATAATAAAATAAGAATACATTTAAGAGTGTATAATGAAGTAGGAAAATGAAGGAAAACATAGAAAGTATAAGTAAAAAGAAAAAAGCAGATTACAAATTAAGTTACCAATTTTGTGGAAAGTAATGTTGCCATGCCTGGGTGCCTCCACGCCTGGCTCAATCTGACGGAGATGCGAAGCCCCACAGCTGTATTTTTCTCTAAGGACCATCTTTAATGACGTCAAGTCTCCGTTCTGGCTAGGGATCATGGATAAATGTGCTTTTTGCACATTTTTGATCTCTTTTGAAATACACGGGTCGTGCCAGATGTGGTGGTGCACACTTATAATCCCAGCACTTGGGAGGCTGAGGCAGAAGGATCACTACAAGTTCAAGGCCAGCCTGGACTACATGGTGAGTTCAAGACCAGACTGAACTACACAGTGAGACCCTGTCTCAAAAGAGAAGAGGAGAGAAGAGGAGAGCAGAGGAAAGGAAAGAAGAGCAAGGGAGGAGAGGAGAGGGGAAAGAAGGGGTGAGGGGAGGGCAGGGGAGAGTGGAGGGGAGGGGAGAGAGGAGAGGAGGGAAGAGGGGAGGGAGGAAAGTACAGGCCCAGCCAACTCTGCGGCTCAACTCCCAGAGCATACTTTGCTGCTCTGCCTGCAGTCCAAATACTGATTTTTTTTTTTTTTTTTTTTTGCTCCGAACGCCTTCGGGGCAGGTTTGGCTGGCTGGAGTTGTGGGGATCGAACCGCAGCAACCTGAGCCTGACTGCTTTGTTGAAGCAGCCACTTAAAGAGCTGAGCTAAGGGGCAGGCCCCCTGCAGTCCAACTCTTGAGTCAGTGATGGAAGTGTCATTTATTTCATTGTGCTGTAAGTGACATTATTCAACAAAGGAATGGCACTAGGACAATTATTTAACCAAATATCTAAAGATATTATGCAAGTATTAAATAATTAAAAATCTAAAACCAATAAAAATCTAGGGCAAGTGCTGTCATAAATTGGGAACACGGATGGCTTGGGAAGTCAGGAGAGACCTAGTGAAGTCGGTATCCCCTCCCCACGGCTGGACAGCGCCACTGACTTGGACTGGACCCATCACCACAGCGATAGCTTAACAGGCATGGTCCAGAAAGCACTGAGGAAAACTGGTCTCGCCACCCACACAGTAATCCTCTAGACAGAAAATAATTTAGAAAATTAAATAGCAAATGCAGTGAACTAACACTAACTAACTAACTTTACAGGGACATAATTTTTACCCTGAACAGGCTATTCTTATTAAGATACAGAAACAAATGGGACAGTAATTTAATAATCTCAAATGGCACTGTCACCCAACAGTGGCTGCCGAGGGTGCCAAAGGCAACACAGGACAGATGATCAACAGGGGATAATATCTTTCATCAATTTTCTAAGGTAAGTAGACATTTACCCTCAAATCTCTGTGGTTCAAACAAAATACTTGAGCATTTCTTAAAATTTATCTAAGCCTACTAATTGAAAAATAGCATCCTTAGAAATATTATAAGACACATTTAATGTCTAGATTCTATAGCACTTACAGTTATGTAAGAACTCTTCCCGGTCCCTGTTGGTCCTACGAATATCAAAGGCTTTTGATGCGTGGTTAGCAAACTCATCAGTACAGAATAGCGAATGGTGTCCAAGGTTGGCACGATGATTTCGTTAAACAGCATGTCTTTGGGAATTGGAGGGGCGTCTTCCAGCTTCTTTATCCACGGTTCCCACCTTCCCACACCCTGTTCATAGTAAACAGCCCCCAAATGAAAGTGAGACTACATTCTGCATTTCTCCACCATCATAGGAAAGGTCGAGCCCAACACATCCTGACATTCACGCATTTTGTTTTACAAACCATTTAACAGCTTGAAAGTTCAATTTTATGGATGCATTAGGAAAGATTTTGGCTCTTAGGTCAATAAAAAAAGAATGACGATAAATACTGCTCTATTTGATGTCCTGAAACTATTGCCTTTGCTGACCCTATGATAAATTTTTGTAGACAAATATTATGTTAACAGCATTGAAAAGGTGGACTAATCAGTGGATTACAGAATGAGTTTATCTAAATGCATGCTAAGATATATAGAATTTTCTTCATAAAAATCAACTACATATTACTTGACTTTAATAATGATACTTATCATTATTAATGAAACTTATTAATAATGACATACTTATCATTATTAATGATACATATCATTAATAGTGATACATATTATCAGCTTATCATTTCAGGTAGATTTATAGTTATAAAAATATAATTGAAATAAAAACACAATGTTCTTACCCACTTATAATTATACAGCTCAACAGTATTAACTACATTTACACTGAGTGTTACAAATCTATATAACAGCAACATCTCCTAATTTGATGATTATTGTGAGTTAATATACTGCTGTATTTTTGCATCTGATTAGCTTGTAAAGGAAAATCTTAAATGTCTTGGACAGTAGTAAAAAATGTTAATTTTCTCCCTAGAAAGTATCACTTTCCTCTTCATTCTTAATACAGTATAAAATCTAAATTCTGACTCATTCAAAGCACATCAGAATTCAGACTCAGCCTACCCTACCTCGATCCTACCCTAAACCACCCGAACAACGCCCGTGAGTCCCACACATGCCGAGCGCTGGGCTGGACCTGTCATACTCCCTTGGCCCACAGTGCACATGACTGTCACCTGAAGGGGACAGGACCTCCCTGAGGGCAGAACTGTGCTCTGCTCAACGCGTGTCTCCTGGAGCAGAGCTGTGCGCACCGTAGGAACACTGTGGAGGGTGCTGAATTAACCTCAGTGCGAAAACTGTGCTGTGAATTCCAGACCCGATGAAGAAAATCACACCTTTCCAAGGTCTCATAATCTAACACCACCTCGGAGGAGGAGGAGGGACTAAGAATCAGAAAATCTGAACTTCACAGTCACTGAGAGGCACATGACCGCAGAACACCCCCTGGAGAGCTCTGAGCCCAAGCCCCTTAATGCTAAAATCTACAGAACAACCCTGCCCTTCCTGTTGTGCTAAGGGATCAGAAAATAAAGGAAAAATCACTGTGGAAAGTGTAATAAGCTATAAAGTGCTCTGAAATGCAGGGTACTGAGTGTAAGTAAGTAAAATTAGCAAGATCAAGAGGTAATGTTGGGTGGGGCCGTGAAGACTCCCTTGTGCGGTGAGTGTGGTAATACATTTCAGAGGCATCAAGTCCAAAACTCAATACAGTGATGCTGTTCCCAAAAGCATAACTGAATGACAAGACGCGTACGCCATGACCTACGTCTCACCAAGGGAGACTGCATAAAATAAGCTTACGGAAGAGACATTAACGAAACGGAAAGACATTTCGTTTGTTAAGTAAAAAAGGAAGATAAAAATTGCCCACTGAAGAATGGCATGATTTTCCTTAATTCTGTATATTTTAAATAATATGCACTCCTGAACTTTGCCCACAGGACAACACTCATGGGAGTTGTTTCGCAAACCCAAACGAACACCACCCAAGCTTTAGTGTCCACCCCACTTGCAGAGTGTTGACATTTAACCAGGCGTGTCGGCAGGACCTGGCACCTGTGAAGTCCTCACGTGCGCGGATCTCTCCCACAGGAGCCCTTGCGCACTACATGCTGGTGTCGGTGGGACACCACAATGTGAAGTTCTATTCAGTGGGTGCCACTGGCCCATCGGGTACTGTGATCACCACATTTAATCCCTGGGGAAAAGGATGTTCAGGGAAATTAGTCCATAAGCCCATGCAGAGAGCAGGTCTACTCAGACGCAGACTCCAGCGCGTCTGACTGCCAAGCCAGCAGGCCCACGTCAGCAGGTACACAGAGGGGGAGGGACTGCCCCAGAGCCATGGCGCTGGGTCTTGGAGAAGACTTGGATTGCTCCAGAACCCTTACCTCCGTGATAAACTGATAGTCATAAATGGTGCCTTTCTCGGGCAACGGGACGGTCAGCGCCTTGGAGGACACCTGCTCTGCTCCGCTCTGCAATTTGAACCTATTTCGTGTTAGTTCTGAAATCGGGCCATCCATGAGTTCTCGGAGAATCTTATTAAATTTCATCCGATCATCATCTGTACAAGAAGCACCAACGGACCAGATCAATGAGAAAAGAAAAATGCCCTGCATTGGGGAAGTGGGACAGAAAGCAGAATTAGAGGGGGGGGGGCCGCGTCTGTCCTGGAAGCACTCATCAGTGGGGGGTCTGGAAGGGGCCATGGCTGAACCAGAACAGGGCATCGGAGGGCTGCAGGATAACGGGGTATTTTCTTCAAACTGAGTCACTTGCAAACTCTTAAGGCTAATACAATGTAAAGTATACCTTCTAGCCATACTGAAACTTCAGAATGAAGAATACATGGTTCATATATTAATATATTTTAATACTATATTAATATATAGTATTTAACAATATGTCTATCTCAGGAGCCTGATATTAAAAAGAATACTGAAGTAACTCTATTATGGCTTGGCAAGGCAATAGCTATAATATACGTTTGATTTGAAGTTTGACACGCTGGGCTTAAGTAGAACCAATTTCTATGCTCTTATTTGCAATAATATCTGAGCATCAACCACAGAAACTGAAGCTGCCGTCCTGCAAGCCAAAGCGCCCCTCTTTCTTCTTAGCAGACAGGCACAGGCAGCAGGTCACACCAGGTCCTCTGTGGTTGAGAAAATCAGCCCATTTGTTTTAAAATCCAGTCCTTTTTAAGTGTTAAAGCCATCAGAATCCTGACCACGTTCAAAACAGTTCTAGACTCTATTTCAACCTAGTTCCCCATCTACTTTTGTACAGATTATTTCTCTTAGATGTCTACTTTTCCTCAAATAAAAAATTAATTTATTTCACAAAAGCCATAAGAGTTCCACACTGACCATAATATAAGGATTACTCAGATTATTATCACTCACTAGTGCTTCTGTTAAAAATATCCCGTCTGTTGATATGCGCAGTTCTAGTCAAAAAATCCACTTCTGATTACTGTACTTTTTCTTGCTTTCCTCAACCTAAACATACAGCGATGCCCATCCACACATCCCCCCCCTATATACATGTATTTAAATTCTCATGCAAAAAGGAAGGAAATTAAGGTGGAAAGTCATAAGCTATTATGGCTTGGAGCGCACAGAGCACTTTGGGGGCTGGGCAGGTGACTCAAGGTTTCAACCACAGAGCTGGGGTGACCCTGGGGCTCCCCTCAAAGCTCACGACAGCATGGCAGCCAGTCACAGAAGGCTCCCTACTCTTCCCCCACCTTAGCTCCTGCCACTGTCCTGCCTCCAGTCCCACGACTGAAGCGGACCAGGGTGCTGGGGGAAGCAGAGTCATGTACATTTGGGGCAGAGAAGGCAGTGGGCCTCACCTCAAGCAGAGAGTAAACTTCTCGATCATTTCTCTCTTTTACTTTGGCTTCATCCACAAAAATATCCATGAAACAGTCTATTAGATTCATTAAGGATCGGACCAGATTTGTATCTGTAGTAGGAGACAATTCCTGAAAAATCAGAAAGAAATACACAAACTTAAATCAGGCATGTGATGAAGCGGCGTCAGCCGGGGTTTATTTAATTCCAGCAGCTACAGGATCTGCAAAGAGCTGCTACTCTAGTTCTTGTTTCCTGGGGAAACTGAGCACATCTTAATTTCTTCTCTAGCACAGAAGTTCACTTGGGAAGTGTGACTCTTTAACCTGTCATGTCAATTCTCAAATTAAAAAAAAAAATTATTGGCACATGTTTAGTTCATTTAATCAGAGATACCAGTTCTAGGTTTCATTGACTTTATAAATCAAAACACTCAAAGTCTTTCTGAGGCCGCAATTAGTCTGCACACCTACAATGCTTAATAAATAAAATCCATCTAAAGAACATACTTACAAGCATAGCAGTAAAGTAAACCCCATCCTATGAGGTACGTTCCCAAATCTCATGGTCTACAAAAATACTGGTGGGGTGCCGCAAATGTCATGTGCTGTGCTTTCTGACATCAGGGTGACAATTCAGAGGGTGAGTGAGGAGACATGCGCATCTCCCAGGACCATGCAGCCCTGGCAAGCTGTCGCTAAACATCAGTCCACATCTCCCAGCTCTACCCTGGCCCTGGGGCTGCACTGCTCCGTGGTGAGTGCGCGGCTTGAAGCCTAACGGACTCTGAGGACAGGAAGCAGCTGGCTTCCTGTTCACAGCCTCTGGCTCCCGAGGCAGCAGGAAACAGAAGTTACGGCGGAGTTTCTAGCTGAGGCCAGGACGCTAGAACACAAACCGCTATCACTGCACAGGGGACAGACACCAGGACGAAGTCACGGCGTTCCGAATGCTTCCTCCATTCTGCGGGTGGCATTAACCCACAGCTTGTGCACACTAGTCAAGCACTCCCTACCACACTAGACTGCTAAAACCTCCTTAAAATATTTGAGACAAGCGCTTGCTAAACTGCCCAGGCTGCACTGAACTTGAAATTGTCCTGCTTCAGCTCTCAAGTGACTGGGATTACAGATGTGTGCCACCAAGCCTGGCTGCACAATTTCTCTAAGAGAGAGAGAAAAAACAAGAGCACACTTCAGAAATCTTTCATTAAAAGTTTTCTGTTTTGCTATAGAAAGGATAAGTTCGTTATATGGGAAAGTCATGTTAGTAATACCTAAATTCTGATAGTGCTAGGGAAAGAACAGAAGTCCCAGAGGCTACATTACTACAGCCTCCTCCACGAACGCCTAACTTCTGGACTGGGCTTAGTATGTTCAGCATACTGTGGTCACAGCCAAGCTGTGAGAAGGCGCACTCGACGCCCACTGGCCAGGCCGCAGCTGCCGCGTTCCTCTGTCACCTGCCTAGTGGTGCCCTTGTCGCCCCCGTAAGGTGCTCTTGCTGATGGTCTCCGTGTTTCCAACTACCAAACCAGAAGGATGCGACCCCTTCCTTTGTTAAAAACCCTGGTCTTTGCCCTGTCTCTCCTCTAAGTCACAGTGTACCTGACGTTCTGTCCTTTGCTACCTGTCCCTCTGGATTCACCCTTTGAGTAAACTGCGTCAGCACAGTTTTAAATCCATCTTCCAAATTTGCATCTTGAGCCAAAGTCCTTAAGGTTTTCTATTACATTTCAAGCAGCAAGAAAAATATCAGCCCTGCTTTCCTAGATTTACTACAGAGAAAGTCATTCTAAAAGACCTTTGACCGAGCCTTTGCCAAACAGAAATGACGCATATTTCATGTATTCCCACAGGAGAGTTTAGGAGCTTCCAGTGCTTTCTCTGCTCTCAGGGGTAGGGGACTTCTATTCCGTGACCACTTTTCTTCCCCTACCTTCCATCTACCCTACTCCAGGGTGTACTGGGAGGAAGAAAAGGAGAAGTAGCCGTGCCTATGCGAAGTGCTCTTTCCAGTCCTCCTAGCGGGGCCGGGATGATTTTAGGAAATTTGGAAAAGAAACTTATAAAAGCAGAAATGTAAAATACACATGTCCACCAGAAATAAGACATAACATTTTGGATTATTTTTACCAAGACAGAACTATGTGAACATGGGAGTTCTTTTTTGTTTTTGTTTTTAAAGAGAGGAAAGACTAACACCAATAACATTTCCTCAAATTCTAAGATTTAAAATATTGTAGAGGGTTCCTTTTTTCCTGCAGCCTCTGCAATATTTGTTGTTGGTTGATTTCATTATGATAGCCATTCTTTCTGGGGTATCCTAATGTTGTTTTAATTTGTGTTTCCCGAATGGCTAGTGACGTGGAGCATTTTTCATGTATTTATTTGCCTCTTGTATTTCTTCCTCTGAGAAGTGTGTGTTCATCTCAGATACCTATTTTTGGATTGGGTCTTTAAATTCTGGGGCCCTAATATATACATATGTTTATATTTACATATGCATGTATATACAAGATAGTTAGGATAGATACACAGCTAGTTTCTCCTAGTTCATTGAGAAAAAAGGTTTCTACTAATATTGTTTAGACAAGATATCATGTCTGCATCTTGTCATCTGAATTACTACTAGGAAGACAACAATACACAATGTATTAATTATTGTAACTGTCCTACTAACCTGTTTTGAAACTGTTTCATTGCTATTTTATCTTTTTCTCATTAAAATGAATAAAAACTAAAATATAATAAAAAATAAGATAAAAATGAAAAATAAAATATTGTGGAGAATAATTATATAATGCCTTTTTCATTTTGGTCAGAAAAAAAGGATCCATTTTGCAAGTGGGAGTGAGACTGAGAGTCAGGAGGAGGGAGGGAGTGTGGAGAAATAGGTGAGGACATGGAATGAAGATGCGCTCCGTCCAGGCGCCACTCCAGGGGAGGGATGCACACACAGTCCTCACACAGGTGAGGAATGATAGAGTCAGCTGAGAAAGAAGCTCCCCACTGGCCAATAACATAAAGCCACGCTGAACTGACATGCTTGGCTGACTTGTACTCCCCTTTCCCGTTTTAATGTTAAGCTTCCCGTTCCTCTTACCTTTGTGTGCCTTCTAATAAACTCTACAGACACAGGGACCATCCTGTCAAACAGGCCTGTTATGAATTCCTTCTGAATGGCGCTGACCGAAGCAGGTAAAAGATTCAACCAGGACAGCATCAGCGGCCTCCAGCCCAGTATGTGCGGTTCCATGTAAATCATACCGCACCTGGAGACCTGTAAAAATGACAGCGGTTCATTGTGGAGCTGATGCTTATGAGGAGCATGGCTCCACACGCAGGCAGGAGGAGCTCAGGATGAGCCACAGGCTGGCCCGGGATGGCAGATGGGGTGGCTGGGTGACAGCTAACGACAACCTAGTGAATGCCTTCGGGGTGGAGGAGGCTGGTGGTGCAGTGACCCCTATCTGGTCCTTCTCTCCTAAGTATAAGATGCTTTTTTTCAGTCCCGAGAATTTAAAAAACCAAGGTCCTTGTTTCCCTGGGCCAAGCTGTCCCATGCTACGCAGTGCAGGCCACTGTGTGGGTCACTTAAGTAGACGCAATGCAAGAACACCCTGTTCACCTGATCCCAGGAACGCAGGACAGGGAAGGAAAACAGGGTGTACACAGGACGAGGTCTCAGTTCTCCACACACCACGCCCAGGCCCCTTTGCTCTTTACAGTCTTCAGAAAGGTCTTGGGGGCAAACCCTCAACTTTATGTACTTTCATGACCTCCATGTTTGTGTAGGACTTCACCAGATGAGCCCCGAAAGAGAACATCTTACTCCATCTGTCCAGCCTCCCACCAGGTTTGTGACAACAGAACATCTGAGTTCCGAAAACCCCAGGTCCCTCTTAGAATGAACACTAATAATTGTTTTCATTTGAAGTCAAAGCTACTAAGGAACAAAAACATGACATTTTCCAATTTAGAAGCACAGATCGAAATCGAGAACATACGGTGGCAGGAGAAGCAACTTCCAAATCCATTGGCTCGAAAATCAGATTCATTTGTGGTGACATCTGGATGATCTCCCCGCTCATCAGACAGAGTTTCTTGTTGTCATCCAGGACTGTATTCATATTTTCAATCCACACGGCGTCCACTGGCCCGTCAAAAATCAACCACTTCCGATCTGGAGTCTGTGTCATGCATATTATAAATAAAGAACAAAAGCGTAATGAAGGAAATGTTATTATTTTAAAACTCAAAAGCACAACTCTTAGCTTATTCCACTGAGCCATCTCCCCGGCCCTTAGATTGACAATTCAATTTTCTTTTCTTTTTTTTTTTTTTTGGTGAAACCGGGGATTGAACTCAGGCCCCTGTGCTTGCCAAGGAAGTGCTTATTCCACTGAAGCACAACTCTTAGAATGAATTTTACTATGCACAGCCCAAGCTAGCCTTCGAATAAAGCGTGTGCATGCACTCAGCTAGGGCTGGAGGCTGAGCTGGCTGCATGGCGCACGCCTGAGATCTCTGGGAGACGGAAGCAGCAAAGTGACAAGTTCAAGCCCAGCTCGGGCAATTGAGCAAGGCCGTGCCTCAAGGTGGGATGGGATGTTGCCTGGTGGTAGAATGCCCCTTCTTTCAATCCTCAGTAAACCCCCCTGCAAAAAAAAAAAAAAAAAAAACCCAATGCATGCATGGACAGGACAAAAATGTCTCATATTTCATGAAGGTTTTTTTTTTTTCTTGGTACTAGGAATCAAACTCAGGACCTTATACTTGCCAGGCAGGCACTGTGCTACAAAGCTATCTCTCCAGGCTTCTTTAAGGTTTAATATTCTCCATGTTTCTGAACTCAAATTTCTGAATAGAAATTTCATTCAGATTTTTCTGTTCTTAGAGAAGCGCAGATTGGTCTTAATGTGTACTGTACGATGGCGTGTTCACATAGGCTCATTGCTAACGCGTGTAAGCCCACTTCTTTCTTTCCTCTGTTGGATGAATCTATGTCATGCATACGTAGCTGCTCTGGGGCTGAGCTGTTTCATGATGGGATATTCAAGCCACCATAATATTCACAGTCCCACGATTATTTCATAAATATGAAATATTTACATGTTCTAAATGTTTAACAAATATGAGGACGTACCAGGTGTTCCCTGAGGGCACCAGTGCTGGCTCTCCTGTCTGGATTCTCCCTTTGTGTATGGGTGCTTACTGTCCTAGTTTACCTCTAGCAAATGGGAGCTCCAGTGGAAGTGCAGGAGGATTTGAACCCACCTGGGCATTTCTCTGTCCTTGTGGCCAACTTATTCCTCTACAGGACAGAAGTGGGTCACCTGCCCTCGGGGTAGTCCTGGCTCAGGACAGGTGGACCTGGGGATGTCTTGAGACCAAACGTCGCTCAGGCCGTGGGCTTACCGTGCTGTGGCCTGTCCTTCTGGGACACCTGGCCCCATCCATCCACCAGAACTTGTGCATCACAGCCAAAAGTACTTTGCTTTTCCCTTGCCTCTGCTACTTTGCTGCTGTGTGACTGTGGGGAAACGGCCTCCCCAAAACTCAACGTTTATGGGACACAGTTCTTGAGGAACACAAGCTATGTAGCTGAATCCAGACTAGACACAGCTTGTGACTATTCCCGTGCGGTATGTGTGTGCATTACCTAGAGACTTCCTGTGCAGTTCTGGGCCCAAGTGTGTCTACAGCGATAAGACAGGACCTGAGAAGCGGCCTTGTTGACCCCAGAGCTCGGCTGGCCTCACTCACGCCCCACAGTAATCATGTCTGTCCTCACCACTACAAGGCAACCTGGCCTGGGCGGGACCTCCGCCTCAGGAGCACTGGTCCTCACCTACCCACTGCCCGAGTTCTCTGTGCTTGTAAGAGCGGAGCTGAGAGTCCTCCACTACACTGACTCTGTAGTCAATGTCTGAGGGCTCCTGAGGCAGTAATGACAACCCTACTAGCATGCGTGCCTCGGAATAGAGAAAACAACGACAAGGCAAATTATGCAGGGTATAACCTGGGTCCCCCCAGCTTGGGCCCCTTTACCTGAGCATCTAACCCCAGGCTCCAAGGAACCTGCTCACTGTCGGCTTCCATGCTGACAGCCCTGGTGTGTGGACTCCGTCATGAGTGGGGAATGCCCACCTGGCAGGGTGAGCCAGGCGTGGGGCAGTGCCCTCTCCTGCGCCACAGTCAGAGCGGGCACAGCTCTTTCTCCATCTGCTTCCCACCCAGCAGCCCGTTCTCTCTCCAGCACACTGCCCGGAAGTGTTGTGGAAGAACTTTAGGCAGCATCCGCAAGAGTGCCACGGGGGAGGAGCCAGCAAGCAGTGGGAGTGACAGCGCAGCACCTCAGAAAGCGGCTCAGGGGTACAGCCCTCTAACTCCAGGCACCTGGAGAAGAGGCAGGGCGGCTGCAGCGTGAGACCTTGTCTCAGAAGAAAATGAAGACCGGGGATGGGGCTCAGTGCTCCCTGCCTTTAAGTCCCAGGCCACATGCGCATGCAAAAGTGGGCAGAAAAGGAACACTACTGAGGGCACCAAGGGACCTTGGACTCAGGGGCACTTCTTCCTGGCGAAGCCAGTCTGGGAGAGCGGGTCAGAAGCACCCCGCCTGTGGGCTGTGTCTCCCGCCCTCTCCATTTGCTGCATGGCCTCTGGCGTTTTGTAGGTGCTAATGCTGTTTTTCACACCCAAAAAAATCACCGCTGTAGTCTTGTAACAGGTTTTATACAAAATTCCAAGCTGTAAGTACACACGCGTATTTGCAAAAGCTGAAGCCATCAGACTCTGGATGGGAGAGCAGAAGCTTTGCAGATGTGCGCACCAGCGCCGGTCCTCACCGGGGACGAGGCAAAGGCCCTGAAGCTGACGGCGAGGATCCCGTCCGACCACTCGTGGGACACCAAGTCGAACTGTCCGTACAGCTGCCCCATGGTGACAGACTTAGGGTTCAAAACCGTTATCTGAACCTTGTTTTCTTCCATTAGCCCCTAAATGAACAAGAAATCAAAATTCATTTTGAAGAATACCATCTTTATTCATAGAAAACATGATTGTATAAGTAGAGTCCTAAGGAATCTACGAGGAAACCTTCAGAAGGAGTGAATTTAACAAGGTCCTGGCATACAAGGTCAAGGTATAAAACCCAACTGCATTGTACTATGACACCCATGAAAATCTGAAAGTAACATTTTAATTTAGCCCTTATGATAGTATTTAAATGATCACAAAATAGAGAGGCAGAAATTAGTAAAGGTTGCACAAAACCTGGAGGCCTCAATCTATGAAACAGGAGTTGTTGGAAATTTTATTTTGCAAAGGGTCACATAGTAAATATTATAGGCTTTCCTGATTTCTACTTTTCTTTCTTTCTTTTTTAAAAACACATTTTAAAGAAAATGTTAACACCACTGCCTGTTACACAAAAGCAGCTTTGGCTGAATGAGACCCTCGGGCTATAATTTTCTGACCCTCACTGCAAAATGATCTCTGTGGGAAAATTACAAGCTGCAAAGACAGGAAAATATGTACTTTTCCTGGGGTGGAAGGCTTAACAGTGGTGAACTGCCTATTTGGGGAAGAACCCGGGAGGTGTTTCTATGGTATTACTACAAAAAATGTTAGCACCCTTGCATTACAAGCCCTTTAATTTTTAATTAATAGACTTGATTTTTTATTGTAGTCTTAAATTTACAGAAAAGCTGCGCAGGAAGTAGAGAGACTCCCAAGTCCTTCTTCCACCTCCTAGATAACACTTTCTCCAATTATCGACAACCTGTGGTGCAGGGTTACACATATGGGTTTGTGCTGACACATTATTATTAACCAAAGTCCACAGTTTAAATTAGGGTTCAGTTTTTGGGTCATGTAATTCTAGGGTTTTGCCAAATGCACAGTGTCATGCATCCACCAGATAATACGGTATGGAATAACTTCACTATTGTAAAAGTGTGCTGTGGACCATATGTTCACAATTAATCACCCCCCCCACACACACACACTACACACACACACACAGAGTTCTGTTCTTTCCATCAGAGCTTGGGACACAAACTAACAAGCTCAAGGTCTCTGGTTATTTTCTGTGTCCAAGAACAGCTTAAGGTACTTCTTACATTCGGAAGTACAGAGAGGCTCTCTTATGTCCTTAACCTGGATAGAGGTGCTGTCACCAAACAAAGGATTTTTGTCCCAACCCCTGGAGTGGGACACCAGCTCTTGGGCATGGCCAGGGAGGCTGCATGTTCAGCACCTTACTTCCCTCAGCAAATTCAGCCCGGAAGGAGCCGGGGAGATGGCTCAGTGAAATAAGTGAGCCATCCTTGGCAAGCGCAAGGGCCTGAGTTCAATCTCCGGTTCTGCAAAAAAATAAAAAAAAATAAAAAAATAAAAAATTCAGCCCAGAAAACAAGCAGACCTCGGGAGCGGCCAGAATCTGCCCTGCGACTTTCTCCTTCCTGTACTCTCTCAGCACGGCCATGTTTTGTCAACAGTGTGTAACCAACAGGGGAGAACAAAAGCAAGAAAAGCACGAACAAATGTGAGACAAGAGAAGGAACCCAGCAAGTAGCAGAGAAAGTGTGAAAACAAAGAAAAGGAAAAAGGGAAGCAGAGGCAAGGAAGAGAAAAGAGAAGAAAGAGTACAAGAGTATGAGGGAGAACCAGGACAGAAACATGGCATATCCGTCTGTGTGATACCAAATACATATGCACCTAGGTTCCCCTGTGGAATCATCAAACTTGTTTCCTACCTTTAGTCCCTGAATGGAAAAAAAAAAGGCATAAGCAATGTTATATTGGTTAGAAGGAAGACCCCATGAACACACAGCGATCACAAATCACACACAGGCCACAGTACACAAAGCAGAAGCAACTGGGAATACAAGGAGGGCATAGTGTAAGGCAAGACTGGCACATTCTGCCCTCTTGGGCACATTACAGGAGGGCAAAGGATTGCTCATTTAAGAAGCGCAGTGTCACTGTGCATGCGCATGATCATGCGCCATAGGCCCAGACTCACGTACACACAGATGCACGGTCCTCTAATTCTACTAGCACCCTGATGAAGGGTCCATCACAAATCCAACTTCTTGGGCGGGGAGCTCTCCTAAAACTATTAAATGAAAACTTTCAGACTTTTACATGTTCTCAGACTTTTTCAGATGTATATGGATTACCATTACAATTAGAACAGTAAAAGAAATAAAAGGTTAGAAGGTAAATCTGAGGCATACTCTTTATGTACTAAACTTTCAACTTGCTTCACTTTACCTTTACAATTTTACTTTCTCTTTGACTCATTTTTCTCATGGTTTTACATTATCATTTTGCAAGCATCTTCTAAGAAAGCTACACAGTTTCCTTCTCGCAAGATGGAGCGCGCGCGCACACACACACACACACACACACACAAACACACAAATGCATGACTGGTGCGTACCTTCTCACATATGTCATTCAGCGCGCCGGCCAAGACACGGTAGGCACTGGTTTTCCCTCCAAACGGTTCTCCAACGATCATAAAACCGTGACGCACAATCATCATTTCATATATTTGAAGAATCTTCTCAGAGAAGAACTTGGTCATTTGCAAATTCATGGAGACGCAATTGTCTTTGATAGCTGCCAGTAAATCATTGTAATCTGGTTTTGGTAATTTCACCCCAGGAAATAAATCTGAAGTAATCCCCTGATAAAAGATGATTTGACATGCTTATGTTTTATACAATTGCATTACATGTACCTAAACATTTTATATTGTCTGAAATGTGTGTATAAAGATGGAGAGCAAGCCATTAAGTAATAAGAGTGCAAATCTTTCCGTTTTCTGCTACAAGTTTTATAACTTGAGCTTTTATAATTTTATGATATTTTTAAGTGAAATGTTGAAGAAATAACACTATGTGATTTCAAGGCCTATAACAAAGGCTGGTATAAGATAACTATATCAACATCATAGAACAAACGGAGTCCAGAAATAGACGCTCACAGCTCTGTCTCACCACGGACACGGGCAGCGCAGGGTTTGAAGGAAGACTGAATGATGAGCTGGAGCAGCCCGCTAGGCCCAAACCACTCACACCTACCTCACAGTGCACGCCTTCCCGCCACACCTCACGCACATGCAAGCATTAGTTGGAAGCATTTTAGTAGGTACATCACATGGTTTGGGTCATGGCCCCAAAGTTTCACATCCACCCACAACTTTGTTTTTCTTAAAATTTAATTTTGAAGGTAAAAACAGAAGCAAAAACAAATAGAAAAAATGATGGAAACAAGGTAACAAAGAACAATACATATGTTACAGATTTTCAAAACAGGAATAGCTAACTAATAATGTTTGTTATATTATTTATTTTTAACATCAAATCTGTTGCTCAGATTAACAGATGTAGTTATGCAAGATTGGACAAATAATTGAATATTAATGCTTGCTTTTAAGAAATCTTAATTTTTTCTTTTAAAATATTTTAAAGTATAATAATTGATTACAGGAGAAAAGATTGGGGGAAAGAAAGGGATACAATTATGCAAGTATATACACAGGATGGCTGCGATGATTGTACTCATAATTTCCATCAGATTTTTTGAAAATAACAGTTAATGTTTAGAATTTTCACTTTGACTACCTCTGTATGCCAATATCAGTGATCTGAACATCTCCATCAAGGACAGCAATGTGTAGTACAAAACCCACGGTTGAATGCTTCTCATCTTGGTCTTCCAAATGCGTACTGTTTCCACCCACAACTTTGTTTTGTGGTACTGGGAATTGAACTCAGGCCCTTGCGCTTGCCAGGGAAGCACTTATTCTACTAAGCCATCTCCCCGGCCCTATCACCCACAACTTCGGATGTGATCTTATATGAAAACAGGCTCATATCCAACTGATTAGCTAGGTCATGTCATATTAGATGAGGACATGGCCTTAGCCCAGGGACAAGTGTCTAAGGCAAAGAAGACAGTCAGACACAAGACCCTGGGCTCACCGTGTGGTGATCAGGCAGAGGCCAGAGCGACAGACCAAAGAGCATCCGGGGCTGCAGAGAGACACCAAGACGGGAAGGGAGGAGGAAGAGGCTTCCTGGAGACTCAGGAGGGGCATAGCTCGAGCCTCGCAGTTGTGGCACTTTGCTACAGCACCCTAGGGAACTGATGCCGTATGAGCGCACGCTGCATGCTTAGAGAGAACTCATGTGCATTGCTCCGGATTCATAAAGTTCATCACGAGACTGTGACTATCACCACCAATGATGTGGGCAGGAAAGACACCTGTTCTTTTACTCTGAAGGTAAAAGGCAAATTCCAGAGGTGCTTGCTGCGCAGGCACACACTCGAGAGAGGCTCTGGGATGGAGGAATTAGCAGATTAATCACTCCTGCGTTCACTCACGGAGAGGCCTCTACTGAGGAACCCATCTCCCCTCCTCCAAGCATAGTTTCCTTGGGGAAAGGACAGAAAAGGGCAGCACAGCCGAGTGGCAGAGCCGCCGCGGTCTGCGCGGTAAAGTCCTGCTCCAGTAAGCCCCCGTGAATGCCTGTTACTGACCCTCTATGTGCCTCAGTTTCACCAGGTGTTAAGCAGGGACAGTGATGGCACCAGCGCCCGGGGCTCATCTGCAGCATTAATAGAATACTCCTTCTTAGGCTGTACTTTATAGGTTTGGGCAGGGGGTGCAACTCAAGGGAAAGGCTCACGTTTAGCTACCTGAGGCCCTGGGTATGATGCCTAGCAACACACACACACACTCACTCTCTCTCTCTCTCTCTCTCTCTCTCTCTCTCTCTCTCCCCACACACACACAAAGACATCTGTTCACATTTCCCAAGGCTTATAAAAGAAGCAAGCAACTTCGGTGTTCAGTGACCCAACCGAGACCAATACCTCCCCCTTCTGCCAGGTGCAGAGTTGGAAACATATGGAGGTGCCCTCTGCTCATCACCAAGGCAGAAGTCTATACATCTGGGGCAGGAGGCAAAGCCACACAGTGCACGGGACAGTCCTGCCCAAGAGGAGCTTGTGCTAACTGGAAATGCCACCTGAGAAACACTGCTTAGTCCTTGTCCCTGGGGCACGGCACCAGCACAAAGCCACAAGCAAGGAGGTTTCTTTGCACATCTAGGGCAATCTGTACAGTGCACCAGTACCAGGGGAACCAAAGGAAGCTATAGGAGGAAAACACAACATCTTTTCCTGCTGATTTTTCCCATAAAATATCTGCACTGCCAGGCCTAAGTATGAAGGCATGCTCTTGCCAAGATAATGAAGCAGAGTGGCTATGGGTAACTAATGTCAGTGACTGATCTAGCGGCACGAGCGCTTCCACCATCACCAGGACAGACACAAGGTCTTCAGCCTCCACGAGCTGAAAGCCCATGCCCATGTGAGCTATAAGCAGCATGCGGAGCAAGGCGTGTAAGGCTCACATGAAGCCCAATGCCCCTTGCGTGAGGAAGGGGACCAGACTGATCCAATGGTATAAGGCGATCTTTAGTCGTTAATACTTGCCACTTTCAGTTACCCTTCATCTAATCTTAAGTATAACTTGATTATCAAACTTGGTTCCTATGTAGGACTATGCTTAAAAATTTTAGAAATGCCATCTCAGTCTTCTAAGGAAATTAAGCTCATTCAGTTTTTTCAGTCATTTGCTGAACAAATGTTTACCAAGCACCTACTCTGTGCTGAGAACTCAGTGTGCGGGCCAAGGGCCTTCCTCAGAGCGCACGTTCTCACGGGACTTGTAAGCAAAGATCACGCGTGCCTGCCTACTATGTTCTCAGTAAAGAAAGTATGATTTAAAATCCCCAAGTTGCTGAAAATTATCCAAAGCAACAAAGCCAGCTAAACATTCTTCCAATAAAAACAAGGAATGATCTACGTTTCTCTGCCCCCCGCTGTTGTTCTTTATGGTGGAAGCTCCTTGTAGAGATCTTTGAAATGTGGACATTTGATAAATGCATTCTTGTAAGAGCTCTGATACACTGGAATAATGAATATTCTTACCTCAAAGAGTGGTAAATCATGGGCTAAAAATTTTGGCAGATTCACATCAATAATAGATCTAAGCAGCAAAATTTCTTCATTTTCATTTGGATATTTCAGCTGAAAGGAAATACACTCATGAGGCTATCAGCAGCTGGACACACCCTGTTCATGTTCACACGTACGCAGCACAATTCCAGTGGGTACAGCAATGGAGCTCTGGTTTCCTTTCATTTTGCTCGGTTGCTACCATAGAAACTGACATTTACACTTGTTGAATTTTTATTAGTTTGTGATAAATACCTAGAGTGAACCGGCTATGGGTTCACAGATACTAAACATAAGGCAACTGGCCACTAATTCCATATAGGTTGGGCACTGCCGCTGCCAGGTATTGGGCAGAGCTTGATCCTCCAACACCTTCAAGACCAGCAGCAGGTTGCTGGCTTGGTGAACATTGTTAAAAGCAGACGGTCATTTTGGAAAAGTGGATTTAAACTTAAAATATATACACAACTTTCTTTCCTTGACTCATATTCGGATGCTGTGACCTTTGCTTTGGATCAGAGCTCTGTGCCCTCTGCTTTTCCCTGAAGCCACAGCGATCACACATCTGCCACTCCACCCAAGCTTGCTGAGTTCTGCCTGCTTTTGAAGGCAATAACGCTCTTCAAAGACACTTGTGAGACGATATCAGGTGCTACCCTTGGACCTCTTAAAGTTCAAAAGATTGAACTTTTTTGTCATCCCCATCTAATTCAAAGTCACTGTTCTAATAGTCTGTATTTCATGAAGCACTTAAATAATGAATTTAGTTCTCACGGAACCAAAACTCTTTCTTTTCCCCCTCCTCTTCCTCTTCTTCCTCTTCCTCCACCTCCTCTCCCTTCTCCCTTCCCCTCTCCCCTCCCCTCCCCCGGCCCCTTCCCCTTCCCCTTCTCCTCCTTGTTCTTGTTTGTTCTCCTTCTCCTTCTCCTCCTTTTCATGTTCACGTATCATCAGTTCCCCGCTAGGTAACTAAGCAGCACAACACAGAATGGAACACCCGGCTTCATGCAGCAGCGATGAGGAGATACTGCTTGTCCTGGTTAAGTAGAGAAGGTCGAGGCAAACATACATGAAACCTCCAACCATCCATGAAGCCTGAAGCCGAAAAGCAGCAGCCTTAACTCTGAGCTTACTGCTCTGACACTGTAGCTGCAACAGCATCCATAGAATTAACAGAAATCCAGACTCAAAAGTATTTCACCCATTTTAATGCTTTACTCTGCATGTCCCTGCAGTTTCTCCCACCACCTTCCCCGTCTGCCAGAACTCTCCTTCCCCTCCAAATCTTTCTTCCTAACCAATGCCTCGGGCTTGCTTCAGTGGCTCCACCCTTACAAAAGCCCCCGGCTCCTTGCTGTCAGGTGCGGGCCACCTCTGCCGCTCGCAGCTCCCCATGCCAACGCTGACCCTGCTGCCCTGAGCCCTGGCTGTGATCGCTCAAGGCACGGAAAAATCAGTGTCAGAAGCTTGCCATCTGAGAGGCCATTATTTTGAAGCAAATGTTTAAATTGTCTCTCGTTATAACAGAAACAGGCTTCAAAATATTCAGCAACTCTAAATTAGCTTTTGACAAGGAACGATAGGTTCATTTGTAAGATTGTTTGCAGCCTGACTTTAACAGCTTGACTGATTCCATAGGCAGGACTGCGGGGGTGACACACGCTGGCACAACGCGTTGTCCTTCCCATTATCAGGACATGAGGCGAGCCCGACAGGCCGGCTTAATACAGCTTGGTGCTTCTGAGCACTTCTATTTATTGCAAAAAACCCCAGTGACTTGAAGTCATGTTGGGCTAATGTGAGGTGGAATGTCGCTGCTGTATATCATAATTCTTGGTAACATTATGGTAGAAGATAAAAATGCAGGCCCATGTCTTTAATCACGTAGCATATATTTTTAAACCCATATCTTCTACAAATCATGAGCATGAAAATTTTATAAACTCCAAGGTCACATTTTACTGTAACCTAAAGTCTACTTTCTGCCTTAAATATAGTTATATTTCATAAGTCCACAAAATACATCAATAAAAGTTAACCAAGTCTTTAGAAATTTTAGGGTTTTTTTTCATCTAGTATGTTTCTACATGATTAGGCTATTTTACATGTGAACGTTCTATTGCAAATCCATTATTTCTAGGCCAGTTGGCTACCCCTGATAATTATATTAAGGCACAATGTTTTAAGGCCCTTTGCATATATTTATTAACTACATATTATTTCCTTTAAAGTGATACAGGTTATATAAACCATAAGCCTTGAAAATATTACACAGCAGCCGGCAGGCATAGTGGTGTATGTCTGCACTCCCAGTATTCAGGAGGCTGAGACAAGACTGCTGTGAGTTCAACGCCAGGCTGGCCTACATAATGAGTTCAAGGTCAGTCGGGACTACATAGTGAGACCCTGTCCCAGAAAAACAAACAAAAATAAATTCTCAGCAGCAAGCAATTTTATTCCCTGGTAGCACCCACTTTTATGTACTTTAAATTATGGAACAACACTCAAATCATGAATCGCACAGGTTTTATAAAATTTCCTTTCCACATGTGCAAAATGATAATTATTTTAGTACGATCACTGATTTTGCTCAGTTAGTGTAAGCAATTCATTACTCCGTGAAGACCCACAGAGGGCAATTCATGGGTCACGAGTGCTGGGTGCTACCTTTAGATTCCCGGCGGCTGTCAGCACAGACTTCACGGCTCGCATCCCGTAGTCGTAGTGATGTTGCGAGGACAGCTGCTCTGAACACAAGCGGTAGGTGGCCACGATCTTCACGGAGAGCGGCCGAGCAGTGACGAACCCGCAGGAGTACAGGACTATTTCGGCAATCATGGCATAGTCGGGGACCATCATGGCCACTGTCCGGAAGAGAGCCTACGGGTGCAAGGAGAAGGCGCTCTGCGGCAGGCAGCCACAGCACAGCTCCACCTGGAAGCAGCACATCCTACCTCCAGCAGATGCACGGATAGAGGACATGGAGCCACAAGCCACAGAGCACAGATCCACATGGAGGAGGAGAAACGGGACCATCTGCAGGGACGTGGGTGCAGCGCCTTGCGACCATAATGCAAAGGGAGCAGACACGTGAGCTTAAATACCGCACGACTCTTGTATATGAGAGACCCAACATATGAATAAGTTAAAGCATAGAACAAGAGATAAGATAGGAAACAGGGACATAGACTTATGCAAATAGGAAAAGAATCAGGAGGCAGAGGGGAAGAGAAGTGAGTGTAATAAGAATGAAGATGTGTTATGCCCAGACACCCACTGCCCGCGAGGCATGGGACTACTGTGGACTACAGACATTGGTTAATAAAAAATAAAAATGTCCATCACAAAAATAGCTCTGCTCTACATTCACAACATGTGATGGCTTTAGAGATTTTTTGCAATCATTAAATTATAATGTTCAAATCACAGAAAAACAATTTAACCAACAGGTTTTCTTTTATGCCATATAATAAATACACCACTAACTTTTCGTATAAATGGTTTCCACATACATGTTTGCCATCAGCCGCCCTATGTTCCCCTCCATGGAGGAGGAAAGCTCTTGATCCCTAAAGCCAAGCTCCTTACCTAGGCTGGGAGACGGCTTCACGCCGCACCTCACAAGCCAGAGCAAATCAGGCAGCCGCTCATGAGGCAGAGCGAGGTGAAGGATGTGCCCTGGGACACTCTGAGCCTGCTTTGTCTACGTTCTATGTCAGTCTTCTGGAAAGTGTAACGACAGAACAAGCAGGGAAATTAGACCAGGGCGGTCACTGCTACACGTGAGTCAGCCTTCCAAGCTGTGCATCTTATTCTCACAGGACCTTAGACATTGTGAGACAAATAAATGTCACACCGTGGCAAGGAAGCAGAAAATGGAACTGATTTTTAAAGAATCAGCATGAAAATGAGGTTTTGAATATTATATATATCAATACTTACTACAATTGTTTGTGTGTTCAAACATGGCTTCTTTATACTATGGAAAAAAAAAACCAATATTCCAGGGAAAGAAAAGAAGCCCCTAGAGTAAATGGCAGTTATGTTAACATAATTTATAAACACTGTACCTTCTGGAAATTAGTAGAAGTCCCATGGACACAAGGTAGACAGAAAAAAGTGAGGCTCTTGAGTAAGTGGCCAATTATGGCTCTTCCTGAGAACTGGAAGATCTGCAGCGAGCAAGACCCTGCCAATGCCTCAGGGGAATTGCTAGCGGGAGGCTTTCACATTATTGCTTTATTAATAAGGTTACCATGAAAGAAGAGAAAGAATGAAACATCAGAAAATACAGTACAAGCAAGTAACTTGGAATAGAGACGTAAACAAGTGACCTCGACCCACATGGGAGAAAAAACCCCAAAAACCAAAAACTGAAAGCAGAAAAGAAATTGCTTTCCGAAGATGTAAAAAACACTGGTTCATGACTTTTTTTTTTTTTTTAATGAGGGATTGAACTCAGGACCTTGTGCTTGCCAGGCAGGTTACTTACGCCACTGAGCTATCTTCCCAGGCCCTACATTTCTTTTAACAAGTAAAAGAATGATTAAATTTACAGCTCAAAATTGGTCAAGCAATGGCTGTGACGCATCCACATGGCTGACATTCACAAAGGATCTTCAAACTGCAGTACAAGGTTATAGGATAAATCCTGAGGGTACTTGACTGACCTTATCAGATACAAAAGTTACATTTCTTATTATAGAGGTCTTGCTTTATCTTGGTCTTAACCATCCAGCAGAAAAGTATAAAAACAAGGTATATAAGGTAAAGCCATATTAATATGCTGAGCTGTGAAAGGCTCAAGTCAACAACTTCTGTGGATAACCCACTGCTATTGTGGACTGCTGGACTGTGTTGGATTGTTTTGCTGAATTCACGCACCTATAATATTTAGATGCCAATGGAATACCCATCTCTGACAGGACTAAACAAAAACAGGTGATACAAAGGAAGGACCATTTTGTATCTGTATATGCAGAATAGTTAGGATAGATATGCAGCTACTTTCACTTAACTCAATGAGAAGAAAAATTTGTATTAATAGCGTTTGGACAGGATATTCTGTCTGCATCTTGTACTATGGTAACCACTAAGAAGATAACAATGTATAATGTATTAATTATTGAAACTGTCCTATTAATCAGTTTTAAAGCAGTCTCATTGATATTTGTTTCTTAATAAAATAAAAAAAATGAATTTACAGCTCACTTGGGGTTGGACGCAGTCTTCTACCACGGTCTGAAGGACTACTTCGCAGTCACCCTCCACAGCCGTGCTGTGTGGCGTCCTCCCCTGACCACCTGAGGCATTTCTCAGTTTCCTGCCATGCTCTCGGCCCTGCCAGTGATCTGGAGATCTTTCCGGAGATAACAGGGAAAGAAAAGAAGCCCCTAGAGTGAAGGGCAGTTAAACGATGAAACACACTCAGTGGTGGCAAGGGACAAGGAATCCGGGACGCTCAGGAGCTCCTGACAGCGTGCTCTTGATGAGGAGTCCAACAGCATCGTACACACTTCAGAATTCTTGAAAAGATTTAGGCCACATCCCACGACTTCCAAGCAGGGTGTGTGATGGATCAACATCACGAAGTTTGATTCTGGATGTGTTGGGAGTGACTTATTAGTAATAGCAGTAAGTCTGGGAGAAATTTAATGCCTTTGGTGAAAAGAATGCAGTTGGATTCCAGTTTGCCAGAGGGCATACCTTTCTGCTCTCTCTCTCTCTCTCTCTCTCTCTCTCTCTCTCTCTCTCTCTCTCTCTCATGAGCTGACCAGAGTAACTGTTCCACTGCTCCCGCCCTATAGGTAGAGCAGAAGGGTGACACACAGAAACGTATCTGCTGCCCCTACTTGTTATCGTGAAGGCTGCATCTTGGTGCAATTTGAAAAATTCAAGCAGTAAGTTCTTACCCACTTCTGTCTAAGAACCACAGAATCAATTTCATCAGCACTTCGACCCATTCGGGAATGGGCTTGATTTTAACTGAATGAAATGGAAGACTGTTTGTTGACTTCACTTTTTTTCTTTGATCCTGGGAAGTTCTCACCATAAGAGAGCTATTGCTTCCTGCCCTCAGGAGATGTGGAATATGACCACTTTCCTACACCTTCCAACACTGAACTTGCTGACATGACCACTGCATCCTGATTCTTCAGAATAGTTTCAAACTAAATCACAGCTGCTTTCAAATGGAAATCTGTTTAGGAAATTGCTCTGTCAAGGAGCTTCATGTAACTGATGTCCAGAGAGGCCTCTCTCTGCATGGGGCGACACTTACCTACTACACAAGTGCCTGTAACCTGCTGATACAGAAACGCACAAAGGGACACACACAGTGAGCCCTACGTGGACCTGCAGGTGTTCGAGAGCATGAGGAGGAGGGAGTCTTCCGAGGGGAGCTGCAGCTCTACTGAGGCCTCACATGCCCCGCTCCCATTGCCCTAAGGTCAGCAGAGCTAGGAAGACTCCACTGTGCTGGGGGCCGTAGGTGGGTCCAAGCTCACCTCCGAGGAAATAAAGGACCAGCGCCCCTGTGCATCTGCTGGGACTATGGATGCTGCAGATGCAGCTGACAGAGAAAAGCCAGGCAGGTGCGTCCAAGGCCCTGCCCCACAGGTGGGTCAAGGGCAGCCCCCAGCTCCAAAATCCCGGGGCAGTGGCCCCTGGAGGTCCAGGCGGAGAGAAGCAACAGCACTGACAAGCAGACCTGTCATCAAGCTCAGGAAGTGCACACAGGGGACCTAAGAGAGGAGAACCCCAGGACGCTCACAGCTCCATGACTGCTGGGCCCAGGGCTGGCACTCAGGCAGTCACCACTGCATGACTGTGTGCATCTGGCCCTCACTGCTAGGGGAAAGGAGGAGTCTAAACAGATGTCAGGACACAAAGTGGGGATTCCAAGGTGGAGCAAACAGCAGATGCAGGCGGGCGGGGGCGGTCCAGGGCAGGTAAGCCTACAGATAGAAGAGCAGGGGAGGGTGGCACCTAGGATGGGGGTCCCGGGGCCGAGCGCTCAGAGGCTGCACTAAGAAGCCTGAGCTTGATTTAGCTGTTTCCTAAAGAGTGGAGGTGATCCACTCAGATTGCCTACGGGAGGTCACACGAGGGGAATCTCACTGGGAGTGACAGGCAATGTGGAGCCGTCACAACCGCACGCCCAGAGGGGAGCCAGGAGTGGGACCAGGTGTGACAGGAACAGGACCTGCAGGACCCAGAGGAGACTTCTGTGAGTTGGGAGCCCCTAACAGCCAGTGAAGGTGAGGGAGGTTTCCAGAACATTCCGAGGACTGGTAACAGCACTTTCTGGGGCCCAGCGGCCATTTTCTTCTCCTTTTTTAAAAAATGTATTTTACTTTGAATATGTTACTGTTTCCTTTCAGACTTGTAGGTATTTCCACAGACACCTGAAAGCAAACGCTTTGTAGCAGCTCTGACCAAGCCAGCGCAACAGGAAGAACAACTACTTAACAGAAGTGCTATGAGCTTCAGCACAGCACTGGGCTTAATGGAGAAGGAAAATGCGCCACCCCGAGATCCTCAGGATGCATATTTTGATTCTGCTTCAACACGCACACTGTGGAGAAAGTCTGCATGGGGCATGAACAGACTCAACCGGCAACCTGGTAATGGCTGCCAGCTTTTTATGGCCAGCTCTTCACAGAGTCTTGTTTACCCTGCTTTTATAAATATTTACACATTCAAACTGAGCCTACTGAATAAAAGAGGAGCATGAACGAATGGATAATATAACTATGTGAACGGATACCATAACTGCAAGAGGAAGAGTCACAAAGGAAAACTGCAAGGGAGAGTCACAAATGCTTCTTCTATAAAAGATTCTCCAGCTTTCATCTTAAATCACACCTTCTTCCGGGAAGCCAGGCACCGACGCCTCTGACCCAGTACACAGCAGGCCGTGCGTGAGGCAGAGGCCGGAGGACCTGCGGTGAGGAGTCGCAGCTCCTGAGCTGGCAGCTGGCAGCCTCCACGCTGAGCTGGGGCGTGAAGGGTTGCGCCAGGTGGCCCGCTTTGGGAACCTCGGCACCACTTACTGTCCCACTGTCTCCTCGGTGTGTAAGCCACAGCCACCCGCAACGTTGCCCGGGAAAGGCTGTAGAGTGGCCGGCAAAACACAGAGAGACATATTCCATTAAGAATCAAACAGGCTGTTCTACAAAGTGCAGGTTCTAGTCTATTCCACTGGAGCAGGGTTTCGTAACAGCAACAAAAGTTAATGCCGTGCTCTCCTGAGAGCTGAGAGCTGAGAGCTGAGAGCTGACTGGGAGGTAAGCTGTGGCCCTGGGAGGCAACTGCGCCACACAGCTCTCCTCCGACTGTAGCTAAGACAGCATTTCAAAATAGAGAACATAATACATTGTGCACTTTGTGTTTAAGAGAACCAAAGATGGCTCAATAAAAGTCAAACAGAATAATGTGGTAAAATACTCTAAATGTTTAATAAACGTAAAAATTTAACCATTAAAAAAAAAAGAGAACAGCTCCAAGTATAAGTGCCCCTTGTGGCATTTATACTGCAGGAAAACTAATGTACCTTAAAAGTTCAGTAGGAAGAAAAGGTTAACTTATTTATAGTGCGACCTACGTTTCTAAAGATGAGAAACGGCTAGGATTGTAATTAATTTGAAAACTCCCACTATACAGTATTGTCTGATTTAAACATTGGTTTATAATTTTTTTAAAAAATCATTTATTTATTTGGTACAGGGTCTCGCTGTGCAGCTCAGACTGGCGGTGATCCTCCTGTCTCAGCCTCCCCAGCTCTGAGAGTACAGACATGCACCACCACACCGGGTGCCAGGGCCAGCACAGCATGCGGTACCAGGGATCAAACCCAGGTCCTTGGGCTTGCCAGGCAGGTGCTCAGACTGCTGAGCTATATCAGCAATCCTAAACATTGGTTTTCTAAAAAGGCATTTAAAACTGTGGTCATTTAATACAATATAGTAAGTAGTAGAATAGGTACCTTCATAAAATACTTTTTATGTATTTTCTAATTTGTCATAATCAGCCTTATTTTAAAATTGTAAAATCTAGAAATTGTACCTGGGGTGCCTATTTATTTTTAAATCACTGAAAGCTTTAAAAATTATCATCTAGAACAAGTTTTTAATATATTATAAAGTCTAGCTGCATACTTTGCACACAACTCTTGGGCAGTAAATCTTTCTCTTATGAAATGTTAACACTTCCTATATTGTGGGAAACGGAGTGGCAGACACAATCCCAGCACCCTCCATACCTTCAGGTTATCTGGCAGCTCCGAGCGCCCAGCATAACCAGGGTTCATAGTTATAAAGACAGCGCATGTCGGGTCAAGTTTTAGTTCTGTTCCTTCAAATACTAGGATATCAGCACCTGCATTAATGCCTGTGAGCAACCAAAAAATAAATGATTCAGCAACAGCACACTTAACCCGGCCTGTGGCACTCATTATTGCCCATGTTTCTTTCATTCTTCGCACAAAGCTGAGACAGACCGGTGCATTACCTCTCTGGATGGTAAGGATTTGTTGAGCAACCACAGAGAGCACTTCCAAATCAATTCTGTTAAACTCATCGAAGCAAGCCCAGGCTCCACAAGATAGCAGTCCCTGAGAGGAGAGAGAAATGCAATTTTCAACTTTATCTGATTGAATATTATGCTGGAATGTTGCAGTTTCACCTGATCTTTTGAAGGATTTAATATCCTATCAAGGAAATTGCTTATTCACCTTTATCATTAAAGACAGCTTATTTTTTCAAAACCAATTCATTATTCTGTCTGAATAAAGAGCTTGATCAACTGGAAAATTTTCCAATTTATTTTTTTACCTTCTTGTCTACTTCCTGGCATTCACATGTGCACCTGCAATTTTGAAGTCTCTCTTACTTTTCATTTACGCGTTGATCTATTTACTCTTCCTGTATGGACTCAGTGCAGCGAGCTGGAACTATCCTCCGCCCACCGTGACTTCTGCTGCTGGTAAAACTGCTCTGTGGAGTGAGCACCACAGTGGCCGACGAGTGTCACCCAGGTCCCCCATTTACAATCTGAAGTCAGGGCTAACTTTCAAATGGAACGCTGGGTCATAAGGGAATACTGGAAACTCAAACATCATTAGCTCCATGCAAATCCATATTTACATATTAAAAACTCAAGAAAAAAAATCAACAAACATTTGTTCAGCACAAGTATCTGGCATATGCCAGGTATGATGTGCAGCATTTTATAGGAGAATTTTATGTAAGGAAACTGGCCCGATACTGTGGAGGACCACCTGAGCAGCTCTCCTTGAAAGAAGAGCGACTGTCTCCATTCTCACTGAGCCTGACCCTACTTCCTATGTACAGAGCTGGCTGGGACTTCTGTTCATCAACTGGCCTTAGGTAAATGTAGGCCACCCTCTAGCTCAGCTTACAATGGTCACCTACTTCCCACAATTCTCAGTCAATCCTCCTCAAGCCACTCCCCCACTGAATAAAAACAGGGTGAGGTCCTGGGTCGCTCTCTTGGTTCTGGAAAGCCATCTTCGTGGCTGGACTTAGAGCCCCTTGACTCCCCGATGACTGAAAATATAATTTAGTGTCCTTATTTTCACTGTGGGTTGCATTGTAAGTGGTAGATTGGAATCCACTTGATGGGATTCCAATAATGTAACTTTGGGATTACAAATATTGGCTTCTTGGACCGAAACAAGGTCCAGGAAGTGTCTCCTACACAATACTGCTGTAATTAGCACAATGTCACCCAGCTAATGATGTCCGGCCTTGGGTTTGTATCTGGTGGGTTAGACTGAATCATATGTATTGCACATAAACTCCATCTATGCCAAGGACCAGTAAGTTTTAATTATTTAGGAAAGATCTGTTTTTACAATTGACCCCTAAGACATTCTACAATGGAAGGATTAAGGTCACAGTGAATGGGATGTTTAGGTCACAGATTCAAGGAAGAACTATGCTGTTCCAATGTGTAGCCTATTTCCACCATGAACCTAATATAGACTGTCCTAAAACTGTCTCCATATAATTAAGAGGGACTCTAAATCAAAGCGTTAATAATTTCACTAAATAGACTAAAATTTGAATGATATATACTATTTATTTCTCTAAACACATAGGAATATAATGGCTATTCAAACATGCAGGTGTTTTTAAATTTGCTATTTTTAAAATAATCATTGTAGTACATTTACAGATCATTACTGAGGATAAATTAAAGTTATTGTTTCCTTGACTTTTTAATTCATTATAATTTTGACTTGCTTTTTTAACTCTTGTCTCAGCATCTCTCATTTTTTCTCTCTCTGTCTCTCTGTCTGTGTCTGTCTGTCTGTCTGTCTGTCTGTCTCTCTCTCTCTCTCTCTCTCTCTCACACACACACACACACACACACACAGAGTCTACCTCCCTGGAGAATTATTAAGACAGTAATTTAATTTTCTCTTTATTTAAGGCACAATAAATCTTTGGCATGAACACAGTTGTGTTTCACTATAAACAACTTTCCTCTGTTATCAATTACTCTAGCATGAAGGAATGAGATGATTCAAACCTTAAAAAATTTTCCTAAAGCCAGGTAATCCAAGCCATCCGAGCAGTTGAACACAACACACTGTTTGGCCACGGCTTTGGCCAAGTCCTTGGTGGTCTCGGTCTTGCCTGTGCCAGCTGGACCCTCAGGCGCCCCTCCGAGGTGCAGGTGGAGGGCTCCGAACAAGGTTCTGAGAGAGAAGACACAGGCCGTCCACGTGGAATACTGGTTTGGTTTTTTAATGCACATACCAAAAAGCTTACGCTAAGAACCAAATTCTCCATTTCCTCCCTAGTAATCCCTTGCTTTCCGCTCACCTCTGCGAACCCTGACAGCGCGCTGCTTCGCGCTCTTGTACTTTACTTGTGAATACTGCACACACCTGACAGATTTTGCCAGATGCACTTGGGAAACTCAGCGGCAGCGACTTGTGCTCTCCAGGAGAGCTCCGCTGACCCTCAACAAACTGATGTGCTTTTTGCCCTTAGGGGCACATAACGGGAAACAGCTGTGACAATAGCACATTTGGCCATGGTTTAAGGAATAAGACGAAAACCGCCCATCACGGGACGTGAAGCCTGAGAGGCACTCGGGCCCCAGGGCTGCACACGCCCACGGTAAACCCAGGTGTTCACCGGCTGCTGCAGTCTGTACCAGAGACAAGCGGATCACAGGGCTGAGCCGGCAGGGCACGGGATGGCCCGCCCCCGGAAGTGCTGCGGCCCAGTCGCGGCCTGCCTCTCCCCGCAGCGCAGCGCGACGTGCTCCGGCGCCGCCGCAGGAAGGTGAGGAGCCGAGCCCACACGCCTCGGGAAGCTCCCCGCACCTGCCTAGGGCAGCCATGGGCAGGAGGGGCGAGTCCAGCAGGCCGGCGCTTGACCGGGCCGGGAAACGGACACGGAGGCTTGTCGGGCCAGAGGGAACCCTAGCGCCCCCTCGGAGGGGAGGCGTGCGCCCTAAGCGCCTGCAGCAGGCCGGCGCCTCCGCTGCTGAGCTCGCGCGAGGCCGCCCGGAGCCTCCTCCCAAGCCGGCTGCCCGGCAGAGCGTCACGGGACCAGGCTCCACGGCCGGGCATAACCACGAGCTGTACTTTCAGAAAGGACCACAACTTCTGGGACACCGCCGGAGCCACCCGAGGCTGGCTCTCCGGCCCTCCCTTAGTTATTTTTATGACTTATAATTTCCCAGAAATGAAAAAATACCTATTTTGATACAGTCTTAGAAAGGGTAAATACAAACTAATCCACATCTGATAGCACTGCAGTGAGCAACACCAAAAAAACACAACAGAATGAAACAGAGGAAAGTCTTAAACGCTGCTATAGAGAAAAGAGTAACAGATTTCTCGGCAGCAGGAAGGGATGCCAGAAGATCAGATTTCAAGGCAATAGTACCTTTGATGGGAAACTACTGTTCAATCTACAATTCCATGACCAGTTAATCTAGCTATTAATAATTCACTGAATTATCTTTAGACAAAGAATTAGAAGAACACACAGTTTTGCTGAGCCTCATCAAAACAGCTTCTAAAGCACTTGGCCAAGCTAAAGACTAAATTAAACAAGAAGTAAAGCAAAGCAGGGAGCAATGCTAAATAAGAAAACAAGATTTCAGCTAAAGCTACATAAGTATGATCTGTGAAAATATCTGCCCCTATGTTAGAGAGGCATTTATTTTGCCTCAATTTTTTTTTCTCTTTTTTAAAAAAATATATTTTGAAAAGTAAAAGCAAAGCAAGAACAAAAATCAGAAACAAAGAAAGAAACAGGGCAACATACAACAGATGTATGTTATAGAATTTCAAGCCAAGAATGGCTGATTAACAATAGTTGATATATTATCTATTTGATCATCAAATCTGTTGCTCAGATTGTAGATATAGTTAGGTAGGACTGGACATATGGTTGGATATTGCCACTTGCTTTCAAGAAACCTTAAATTTTGCTATCATTTTTTTTTTACCTTTTTAAAGAAGTTTGTTTTAAAGAGAGTATCGTAATAATCAATATGACATTAGATATGGTACACATTTAGAAGGCCACGATGTCAGGTATTCAAGCATGGCTTTTGTATTACACATTGCTGTCCTCGATGTAGTTGCTTAGATGGCAGACATCAGTATACAGAGTTGGTCAAGGTGAAAATTCTACACATTGACTGCTTTTTTCAAAAGACTGGTGGAGGTTTCTAGTGCCATCACCCCACCATCCTGTACATATTCTTGCATGTTTCCCCCATCCCATCTGCTATTACCCACATCTGGAGTTGCCCTCCAGTGGGAGCACGGCACAGTTACACAGCTATCGATACCCCACCCTGCTTGGAATCTTGAGAAATGTGGGCTTAACGTAGTTGAAATTATTTCATTATTCAGAAAGGTGACAGAGGTAAATTTTAGGCTTCATTAAGCATAGGCATTTTTAATTGAAAGTTAACCTTTAAACAATAGAAACACAATCCCTAATCATATTCCCCATAATATCCAAACACATGAGAAAAAATTATGCAAATCACTTAGTCACTTAATAAAATATAAGGCAAAAGGGGAGGAGAAACCAAAGAAGATGAAAATGAAAACTTGGGAAATACAAAGCACAACGTATGGTGAGTTGAGAAAGTCCAAGTAGTTCACCAAGTACATTACATGTGAACGGGTTACAAACTTCAGTCATAATAGATACACTTTCACTTTCCCTTAGCTAAATCCCCTTGTCCTTCACCATAAGATCTAGAGAAGATCCCTACCAAGATCCCACAGTACCCTGACTTTTCAGTGAACTCCTCAGAAACTTCCACTCCCAGCCGAGTTGCAGGTACCTGTAGCACCGTCTACTTCTGAATTTTCACTTTGGGCAGCGTACTGTACTTGTTTCCTAATCTGATTGGAAAACATCTGAGTACAGAGGTATTCTTTTTACCTAGTGATGTCCTATATAATAGATAGTCACTAGTACTTCTCAAATGAATAAATACAACTTGATCATTTTTACCAGCACAGCCACATGATGGGTGCGCATGTGCTGACATAAAGGGATGCTGCACTGTAACCTGTGTCATGGCTCCAGTGGGTGCAGTGTCCAGCCACGAGTGGACACTGCAGTGGGACCCAGGCAGGGCGCAGACCTGACGGAGAGCTCTACGCCACACAGCTGGGTCAGAGCCACTGTGCTGCCCTTGGCTAAAATCCCACTTACGTACTTCGTGTTCCATAAACAACTCTCCTGCCAAGCCTTGGAGGAAGAGCAGACGTCAAGCACAGCCTGTGTGAAAGGCAACATCACTCAAGATGAATGCGGGGCAGTTGTACTGGCCACCAAATATGTCTATAATCCTAACTGTTCTCCGCAAACAATATAAGTTTGCTGTTATGTTTATGTGAGTTCAATACGGTTTAGTAAATCCACCTTTGTGCCAGGAAATGTGCTGGTGCTAGGGCCATGGAATCGGACTTGGTCTGTGTCCAGGAAAGGGTTACAGCAAAAAACATAGAACATGCCACACATGTATGTTTGAGCCGCTGCGATGAGAGATGAGGCGAGTGTGGCCAGGAACCAACAGCAGAGAAGGCTGCCTGCGGGAGGTGACATCTCAGGGAACTGAGTAGGTGACAGTCACATCTACTGGGGATCTGAAGGAGGGAGAGGAACTTTCCTGGAAGATGAGGCAGCTTGTGCAAAAGCAGTCAAGTGGCAGAACAGTGTTGCATGACCACACCAGGGGGTGGGCTCCATATTACCTTTGTGTTCTCTGCTGTATTTGAATACAGTTAACTGGGAAGATACTTAAATAGCTGGTCCAGCGGTGACACAAGAGTCACACAGACGAAACATGCTGGGTGGCATCTGCCTGCCCTCCCTCACATGTTGGATGCACCAGCCATGTCAAGGGAGCCTCTCCCACCGCTTCCAGTCTCTTTCCCACCCAGGTCAGCTCCAGAGGTCAAATCTAACACAAGTAGGACTCTGGTAAACGTGGTAAGGGAACTGTGTGGACCTCACAGCTGAGCTGACTGAGGAGCTGGGTCTGTTGTTCTTCCTCTTGTAACCAGCTCTTCATGCACATGGAAAGTTTGCTTAGCTTTAAAAAGAAGGAAGTAGTCTCCTTCAACCTAGGTACATCCTTCAATCCAGACTGTAACTAAGAGTTTTGAATTGAGCGTCAGACCCTTGCTTTGCCATTTAAAGCTATGACTTTATTTACCATTCACCTTGGGTTTTTTGGTGCTGGTAGGGGGAAGGTAGACTCTAAATCCCTAACACATTTCTTTTTTTTAATCTTTTATTTATTCATTTGGTACAGGATCTTGCTATGCAGCTCAGGCTCATGGTGATCCTCCTGCTTCAGCCTCCCCCGTGCTGGGATTACTGGCATGCACCACCACACCCGGTTTCAGTGGCCAGCCAAGCGCGCCAGCACAGCATGTGGTACCAGGGATCGAAGCTCGGTCCTTGTGCTTGCCAGGTAGATGCTTAGACCACTGAGCTATTACCCCAGCCTTCCCTAACACATTACTCAAATAAAATATCTTTGACAAAAGAACAAAGACAAGGATAGTCTTTCCAATACATGGTGCATATTCACATGCATAAAAGTGACTGGAGACACAAAATTAATTAAAAGTGGAACATGGCAATGGGAAGGAAAAACTGGGATGAGGAAAAGGACAAATGAAAGAAGAGCAAAAGATATATTTAGGTATATATGCAGGATAGTTTGGATAATCATAGTGTCAATTTCTGTTGGTCTGTTGAAAGGAGCAGTTAATGCTTAAATTTTTTTTCTTTTGAATTTCTTACAACTGTTTTTGTTGTTGCTTTTGTTTTGTCTTGTTGTTTCTTTAAACCTATCTTGCACATGTATGCCTGGCAGCCTGAGCACCTAATTGAAGGGTAGCATCACGCAATATAGCAACCATCGTTGAATTCCTATTACTTTGTTTAGCAAATTTTTTTTTTTTTTTTTTTTTTTTCAGAACCGAGGATTGAACTCAGATCCTTGCGTTTGCCATTCAAGCACTTATCCTACTGAGCCATCTCCCCGGCCCCTAAATTTTGTATTTTTTAATGCTGTTTTTTCATCACTATTTTGTATTCTTTAAAAAAAAAAAAAGAAAAGGGAAAGTCAGACTTAAATATAAAATACAAGCGGGGGATATTGCTCAGCAGCACAGCACCTGCCTGGCAAGCACAAGGTTCTCAGTTCAATTCCTGGTACCAAAACAAACAAAAACAGAAAACTCTACAACCAGAAGATAACAGGAGAAAATCTAAGTGACTCCAAGTTTGATAACTTTTAAGATACAACATCAAAAAGTATACTTTATGAAAATAAACTGGAAAACATTAGACCTTGTAAGATCAAAATCTGTACTCTGTGAAAGATATTAAGAAAATGAAAACACAAGCTATGGGCTGAAAGAAAATATTTACAAAAACATCAGATACAACAATTATGTATAAAATATACAAAGGCCCTCTACCACTCGGAACAGAAGCCATCTGATTATTAAATTGGGGAAGAGTTAGGCCGGGGAGATGGCTCAGTAGAATGAGCGCTTCCCTGGCAAGCACAAGGGCCTGAGTGCAATCCCGGTTCTGAAAAAAAAAAAAAAATGGGGAAGAGTTTAATAGCACCTCAGAGAAACCGTTCATATAGAAACAAACATGAAAACATGCTCAACATCATATGCCATTAAAGTTGTAATATAAAGCGGAATGCGAGACATGATACCTCATGAGCATGACCAAAAGCGCAAGCCCTGGCAACAGCAGGGCTGCCAGGGTGTGGGGCAAAGGGGAGTCTCCCTGCCAGCCTGCTTGTGGAGTGCATGGCCGGGCCACTCTGGAAGACACTCTGGCAGGGTCTCACACAGTCAACACAGGCTTACCGTGCGGTTCAGGAACCCAGCTTCTGGGTACTGAAGAAACACTTCTAAAGTGGGATCATCTTTTACGAGAGCAGAGACCAGTCAGTGGAGAAAGGGCATTCTTGCCAACACATGGCGCACATTCACTGCACAAAAGCGAATCTAGACACAGAGTGGATTAAAGAACTTACGACCCCACAAAAATCCAGTGCAGGTGAATTGATAGCTTCCTTAACCCAAAACTTGAAGCAACCACTGTGTCCTTCAAAAGGTGAGCGGTAAACTGTCGCATAGCCCTGGAATACAGCATGATCCAGAGCTGAGAACTGTGCGGCACAGCCATGAAGACACAGAGACGCTCACGCGCTGTTCCGTGCCCTGGCAGCCCCTGGTGTCACTAGCGCTTTCGATTTAGCCAGCTAGTGAAAGACAGACTACAGACTTCAAAACCATGACGTTGGGTCGCAGGCAAAACAGTGACAGAAAGTATTGGCAGTTAGCTGAGATTCTGAAGGAAGGGAGGAAAGAGGAGTGCACTGCATGTAGGGCATCTCTAGGAAGCCGTTCTGCGAGATACTGTAATGGCAAATAATGACATCCTGTGTTTGCAAAACCCACAAAATCACAACACAGTGGACTCGGATATAAATGATGGTCCTTATTTAATAATGAGTCAATATTAGTCCATCAATCGTAGCAAATGTAACCACACTAATATCAGGTGTTAATGACAGAAGAATGGAAGGTCCTTACATAGGAATTCCCTAGACTTTCAGCATAATTTTTCCATACAACTAAAACTGCTCCAAGTAGTGTATTTTATAAGAGAAAGAGAAAGACAGCACAAATGGAGAAAAGCCCACCGATCTATTTACAGCAGCAGCACCTGGCGTGTGAGCAGACATGAAGAACTAAGTGACCCAAGGGTACAGCTCAGTTTTGGTAAAGATGGCAGAGCAGGGGCTGTTCTCGATGGCGTTCTGAGATGTAACGGGGCCCCTGGGCCAACTTAGGGCTCTGCTTTTGGAAAAAATGGAAAGCTAAGAACGTAGGAGACCTTCCGGGAGCTGTCTAGAGGCACGTGCACAGCCCCGGTTCACAGGGATGGATTCAGAGTCTTTGGGAGGCAGGTGAGCCAGGGAGCGGGTGACAGCATTCAGAAAAACACAAGGCGTGACACAAAGCACCACATGACAGAAGAACGCCAGGAAAGGAGGTGTCTTAAGGAGGAAAGACGGCTCGCATGACCCGAAAGCAGCCAGCCAGTTTCAGGAAGAAATAAGGGATGGAAAAGGCCAAAACCAAGAGTCACTCAGGAGACTAACACAGGTAAGCATGCTGTGGGACGTGCTTTGCATTTTAAGTAAATCTGTGCACCAGAGTGAGGAAAGTTATTTGCAATGTACTCTTAAATGAAAGGGCTTACCTGTAACACCGATCAGTGAGGGGGGTAATGACCAGCCTGGGAGAATTGCCCAGATACTCATAGCCATATCGCAGACCGGCATTGATCATCTTTGTTTCTAACTGATCCTCCTATGATAAGCCAGATAAAAGGAAGTTAGCTTGGACCACAAAGTTTTAAACAGTATGCTATGTCAAGCACTTTAGCAAACAGCCATAGTGTAGACATCTCTAAAATTCACTTTTCTGACTTCGTTTGACTCAGTTTGCTGACTTCATCTGCTGGTTCCACGGGGCACTGTTTCCAGAGCTGCGTCACTGACATCGGCGGCTTCACTGTTGCCACAGAACTTCCCTGAACTTGCGCCCCCTCCCTTGCATCTCTGCTTTCCTTTCCATGTAGAATGGGTGTTATCAGCCTCCCCATTTCACAGCGGAGGAGCCGACCCAAGGTCGTGGGTCTGCCAAGGGTAGGGACTGGCACCTGGAGGGAGAGGGGAGCCGTCTGTGTCCCTAACCACTACCTCTACGGGCCTCCAAGTGGTCTCTGGGGTGTGGCTCCTGGCCTTCCTCTCCCTCCTCACACTGCCAAGACTTGCAGGTTGCCTTCATCAGGAGAGCGTCTGAGCATGACTCTCCAGTCATGTGCTCTCTGCCCAAATCAGCAGGCCAATGCTGCGCACTCACTCACCGTCCCTACTTCTCCTGCCTTCCTGGTCACAACTGCCACCACCACTGACCTCACCCCTCATAACATCCTTGCAGGTCCTTACAGCTCAGATCTCAAGTGCCCGCCCTCTAGTTCCCATGGTGTGGAAGATGGCTGGGTCACGTGGACGCTCTGTTCCCAAGAGCAATAGCGACAGCCGCTAGGAGCAGGGTCTAGCTGTGGGTCTGGATGCTGAGGCAGTGGGCTCCAGAGTGCACTGCCCTCCCTGCTCTGCCCTTGGCCCACTGTCCTAGCCGGCAGGGATGAGCAGGCTCCCCATCCCACCCCCAACTCCAGCCTCCCGCATTTGCACCACCAACAGTGAGCTGAGAACTTAAAACCATGAGCCTGCACAAACGGCCCCTCCTAAAAAAATAAAAATAAGAAAACTAAATATACTTTCCTCCTTTAATTTGTGAGTACTGGGAGTTTTGTCCCAATTACAAAATGTGACCAAGAGACAGATCACGTTTCTCGCTTCTACTGATCGATAAGCAGAGGGGGCTGAGGATTTAGCTCAGTGGCACAATGCCTGCCTGGCAAGTGTGAGGTCCTGAGTGTGATTCCCAGTACGAAAAATTAAAAATAAAGTAAGAGGAAACTTGAATGACTAAACTGGAATTAAAAAGTTTGATATGTACATTCTTTAGAAGTATCAGGAATTAAAAATTTTTAAATTGACTAGTCTTAGCATTTTTCAAACTGCAAACAGTGATTTGCCTAAAAATGAGTAAGTTTGACCATCTGCCATAATTTTTTCCTTCTATGTATATATGTACATATAACAACACATTTGAATATAGACACAGATCTAAACATAGATGCTGATAATAGAGTTACAGCCTTCTTTAACCTTCAAACTGGAGAAGCGCTTAGTGGACAGAGTTGGGCATCAGCAAAAACATCTTACGTTACTGATACTATTTCCCATGCACTGAGCAAGCAGGCACAAATTAAAAAGCTCCGAGCTGACAGTGCTTCCTGGGGCGACAGCCGGGGTAACTCACCTGCCAGTAGTACCTAAGCTGGCTGAGCCACTCGAAGTCAGTGTCGTGGCTGATGCGCTTTTGGACCAGTGCCGCGAGCACATCTCTAGCATGGACGTCCAGCACCACGAGGGCTCCCAGAGTGACTCGGTTCTGCTTGGACAGTGTGCCCCTGACCAAAGTGACAATATCATCGATTTGTCTGTTACATTTTTCCAAGTACTGCTCAAGAGCCTGAAAGGAAATAAGATACGATTCCCCAATGGGATCAGGATCGTTCTGAACACAAATGTTTTGAACTGGCATGTAGGTAGGGTCTTCTCTGCATTTTCATCTCAATTTTCTATATGATGACTTAATAATCATCAGAATTATTACTAACAGAATGCTAGGTGACCAGGCCCAATCCGGCAAGACATGGGGTACAGGTGGTTCATGTCTACCCAGCACCCCTTTCTTCTCTGTTCTGTGGTTTGTTTGGAATTGTCCATCATATCCACCCATCTCTGCAGTACCAAGGCTCAGGGGCTAGGAGCCAACCAGAGCTCACTGTCACTCTCCCTTGGGAGTGCCATCAGACTGAGAGAAGAAGGTGCATTCCACTGGGCTTACTGACACTGAGCACAGCCATCTGAAGCCACACAAGCCTGCACCCTGTCACAGGAGGAGGCTTGTCATGGCCTAGGAAAGTGCAGAGACAGCAAAAGCAAGATGACAGCCAGGAGGGAGCCCAGGACCCCGATTCTATCTTTCACTTCCTTGGATTCTTTTGGTTCATCTACTAACTTCCAAATGGGGTATCTTCCACTCAGAACAGAAAGACCCTGCCATGGTGTGGGTGGGATTTGACTGTGTCCCTCAAAGTTGCCTTGCAGAGATGTTATCTCCAGTGTGGACTTGCTAAGATAGTGAGAAGAAGAATTAGCCTGAAGGGCACCACCCTTGGAAGGGATTAGCACAGGGCTACCACGTCCAGAGTAGCTTGCTGAGAACAGGCTGCTATTGTACAAGAGAAGCTGGTCTTTCCTCCTCTCACTTGCTTGTTGTCCACCATGTCATCTTGCCCTCTAATACATACTCTTACCATGATGTCATCCACCATGCTGAGATGGAGCCAGAAGGCTGCCCAAACTTGGAGTTGCAGCTTCCAACACTGAGCTAAGTAAACTCTCTGTAGAAAAGGTATTTTGCTATAGCAACACAAGTGGACTATGGGGGTACCAAGAAACAGAACGCTAATGGTTTTGTTGGTGGTGCATGAAGGCCAGCTCTAAAGATCAAGCGTGCCTTGGAATCCGCTCCCCTGGTAGACGAGACTAGGGGGAAACTTCAAAGTCAGAAGACAGCTTGTGATAAAGAACAAAGCAGAATCAGTGAAAACCACCATGTCCAAGGGACTGGTCAATGTGCTCCGGGAGGCCAGCGTGGTCACTTTCTCCACTCTAGCAGTATTCAATAAGCAGTGCACACTGAATTTATTTCACTCGCTTAGAGCTGTTGCTAAGTGGCAACAATGATACTGAAAGTGAGGGAAATCCTATACTGCAATGCTGTGGACTTCATGAAGAGAGACTATTTCCTGAAAACCCCTGACTTTCAGACCTACACTTTTATTTCTTCCTGAAAAAGAGAAGAAAGTGACACACTGGTTGTTTGGTTGGCTGGTTGGAGAGATTTAAGAATGCATCACTCAGGGTCTTCTTCTTTAGGACCTGCCTACCTACCTAGAATATGTGTTCCGCTCAACCCCTAATATGTGTTCACCAACATCTTACAGTTAAAGATATACACTGGAATTAGAAAAGTAGGGCTGCTGCTATGATTGTATCTGATTATGTTGTCTACAGGCCCTTGGAATCGCTTTGCAGGAGGAGCTTAAAATGCTTTGGAGATGAAGGGTGCAGAAGCCTTAGAATTCTACAAGCAGAGCCTGACTGATGATTCTGGTAAGAGCTTGGAACACCAGAATGTTGACAGGAATGCAGATAGCAAAGGACAGGGCCAAGAGGTTTCAGTTGGGAACAAGGATTCCAGCTGGACACTTGGACCAGAGGCCATGTGTGTTCCACTTTGGCAGAAAATTCATCTATATTTTGCCTAAATCCTGAGATTTTGTGGAAGACTTAGATTAAGGGTGGTGGACTAGTTAATCTGGCAGAGTGAGTTTCCAGGCAGACCAACATTCAGGTAGCACCATGGATACTGGCAGTGGCTTTGACCAGATTTCAGGTGACAGTCAGACGCAACAAGTAAAGCCAAAAAATGTGAAAATTTCTCCAGGAAAGAATGCCTGCAAACTTGGAGCCAAGCTGAAAAGATTAGGTCCTAAAAAAAAGCCAAGTACTCTGCACCAGGACAACAGCAAAGATGCCTCAAAGTATCTGAGGAAATCACCAAACCCAATACATCAGCGGGTCAAAGGTGTAAAGGGGTAAACTCCTCTGAAGGACTGCCTTGAGAAGAGAACTCAGGGTGTCCTACTCACGTGGCCTCCTAGGAAGTGTCATCCCAAGTTCAGCTACCCAGGCACTGAGAGGCCACTACAGTCAGAGTTCAAGGGGGCAGGCGAGGCCTACCTGGTAGCCTGACCCAGTAGCAGACTTCGGCAACATCTACCTGGTGCCAGTTTTTCAGGTGTGCAGAGTGCAAGAGTTGTGAGGTCACAAAGGGAAGTGTGGGAGGCCAGGTAGTGAGTGTGTGAACACTGTGAGGGGAGTGAAAGGTTCGAAGGAAAACCGTGCAGCTGGAAGCACCGGGAATGTGGAAGGTCTGCTGAGGAGAGCCATGGGCTGTGAGCAGATCCTCCCTGAGGAGATGGTCAGGAGAGCTGCCACCAGCAAGGTCACGGGGCAGGGCTGCCCAGTCTCTTAGGAGGCAGCGTCTCCCCAAAACCTACCCCGGGCACCGAACATGAAGCTAGGAGATTTAACATGAGGTATCTTGCTGGCTTTTAGTCTTCTCAACTCCTTTCCCTTCCACTAGTCCTCCTTTTTGCAATGGGAGTATTTGCCCTGTGTCACTGTATGGTGGAAGTGTTTAACTTATTTTGTGACTTTTACAGGGGCTCACAGCTTAGAATTTGCCTTGAGTCTCCAGCAATGCTTTTGGCAATGTTTAAAGAGGGACTTAATATATTTTCCATCATTAGATAAGCCTGAAGCTTTGAGGAGCCAGAGTGGATCTAAAATGTCACCCCAAGGTCTCATGTGGCAGTCAGGGAACTACCGGTGGTGATGGGATCATGGGGTCACTGTACTCATCAGTGAGCAGATCACAGATGAGCCATGGGTGCTGTGAGGAGGTGGAGCCTGGCTGGAAGACGCGGGCCCCAGGCAGGTGCCTTTGGACGGCGCAGCTCTCTCCCTGGCTCCCTCTGTGCTCCCTGGCAGCTGTAAGCTGAGCACCTTTCCTCCACCAGGCCTGCCCACCACGCTGCCCCTGCACCACAGCCGGACAACCACAGACAGAACCCGCTGTCACTGTGGGCCACATATACCTCTCCTCTCCTAAGTTCTGGTGTTGGGCATTTGCCCCAGCAATTGGAAAGTGAGTAATATGCATATCAAATTCTATGTCAATTTCCCTAGTATAAGATCTCAAAAGAAGAAATACAAATAGAAAGGTATAATACAAGTAAAAGGAAAGCAGGAACTCGAGGACTAGCTAATTAAGAGAGGGAAAGGAGAAGAGCTAGGAAACATGACAGTGACAAGCCATACAGTTATATGTAGAAGATGGGCAAGGCAATGATCCTGAGAAGATTTTTGAATCTAGCAGTTAATTGGAAAGATTCTCACCCTGACTAACTATATATACTGATATCTGTGAACTAAGCTACTGTGCTGCAGATGGTAATCTGTAATAGTAGTTTCATGCTTGGAGTGCCTGTCATTCTGGTCTTCTGAATATGGGCTGCTTGTCATGACATGTGAGTTGCTGCTGTGCTGTCTCTTGGGTAGATAATTGTTCAAAAAGAAAGGTGTGGTGACTGAAGGTAAAAGACAGGAAAAGGAATGTTGTGGGACTGTCATGCTTCAAGGTTGCATATGGTTAGATTTTGGACTTACGTGTAAACATAAGAATTATATAATTCTTTATGCCTATTTTTTAAAATCTATTCTAATTTTTAAATGTTTTTTTATCATATTCTGTAGGGACTTAAAGTTCAACATATCAATACTTGATGAAAAATACCTGTTCCATGTTATGCCTAAGATGTTTGATATTCAGACAGATAGTGAGGCTAAGCTTAACAGCCTAGGTTGTATGGTAATAACAATAAACTTCTCTTCTGGAGGGTTAACAACCTAAGTTTGCAGACCAAAATCAGAGAAAAAGGAGGGCTGCAAGAAAAGCCAACATTTTGGCCCTAGCCTTCCAAGGTCAATTAAGACTCAGGACATATGAGAACTTGTACTATAATGTCATATAACTCAGTAGTGTCCCAAATTTTCTCATCAAGGAGATTATGGGGCCAAAGAGGAAAGTGATCGATGATGTAGAGTGTGCCTAAGGAGAGTCACATGGAGAGAAAACATTCTCTCAGGCTTTCACAGAGAGCACATTGGCCAAGCAATGGCCGTGATTCATCCACGTGGCTGACACTGACAAAGGTTCTACAATCTGAGGTAGGGGATCTCAGGATAAATCCTGAGGGGATTTCACTGACCTTATCAGAACCAAAAGGTACAACTCTTGTTGCATAGGTCCTGCTTTACCTTGGTCTTAACCATCCAGCAGAAAAGTATAAAAACAAAGTATAAGAAGTAAAGCCATGCTGTTATGTTGAGCTGTAGGGGACTCAGGTCAACAATTTCTGACATTACCAGTGAAGCGGAAGACCCAATACTATTATGGACTACTGGACTCTTTTAGACTATTTTGCAGAGTTAACATACCTATAATATTCAAATAACGGAACTTAACAAAAAAAGGAGATACAGATGAAAAAAAAATTCTATGTCAAAATATATTTAAAAGTCATGGCTTTAGCTGGGCCTGATGACACATACTTATGATCTCAGCACTCAGGAGATTGAGATAGGAAGACTGGTATGAATTCAAGGCCAGCCTCAGCTACATAGTGAGACCCTGTCTCAATTGGTCAGTCAGTCAGTCAGTCAATCAATAAATCTTTTTTTTTTTGGAGACAGGGTCTTAACTATGCAGCCTCAAATTTGTGGTGGTACTCCTATCTCAGCTTCCCAAGTGCTGGGATTACAGGTATATACCACCACTCCTGGCCAATGTCATGGTTTTTCATTTTGTTTTACTTTTGAAACAAGTTCCCACTATGCAGTACAGATTGGCCTTGAATTCACTTTGTAGCCTAAGCTGGGCTTGAACTCAGTGATCCTCCTGCCCTAACCTCTCAAGTGCTGGGAGTGCAGGTGTGTGCCACCACACCCAGCACTGTTATAGTTTTAAACTAAAAATCTATAATTATAGAGCAGCAGGTATATGTGCCTGCCTGGCAAGCATGAGGTCCCAATTTCAATCCCTGGTACTGAAAAAAAGAAATCTGTAATTACTAGATTCCAGTTAAACCATCAGTCAACTCAAAAAGGGACTCACTTAAAGTCCTAGCTCAAGAATAAGACTTGTGGTGAGTATAATTTCAGTTTTTAATTAATGGTAGCTATCTAATTAATATTATATACATACATCCAGCTATGTTAAACTATTGAAATAATTAATGTTTTCACTCTTAACATTACTCAAAAATGTTTTTTTTTTTTTTTTTTCCGGAACCAGGGATTGAACTCAGGCCATTGCTCTTGCCAGGGAAGCACTTATCCCACTGAGCCATCTCCCCGGCCCCTGTATTAAAAATTGAGATAGAGAAAATCAGCTGAGTCCTTGTGTGTATAGGGTAGTCTTATCCAAGGCACAAAGGAGAATTATACTACTCTGTATTCACCTAATCTTTCTGCGCTCAGGAAATTTCTTAGTCCTACTATCTCCCTACATTTTAAGACTTAAAAACATATATAATAACTTTACTGAGGGTCGCTGTTGTAGTACTTTTACATAATGTGAATAAACTAGTGGCTTTGACAAGTTTTGGATAATTATGTGTATGAGCTCTGCCTATGTGTGCTTTCGAATTTTATCTAGATTCTGTAATCTGCTGCTTGCAGCATCAAGCAGAGCTCTGAGTGCACTCTTCTGTTCACCTGGTGTTTGAAGTAAGGAAATTCTCACAGTGTAGCTTTTGAGAAACCGCTCAAACGTGGGGTGCTGAACGCTCACCTGCAGCCCCGCCGGGATGGCTATCTGCACTTCTCTTGTCCAAAAGGTCTGGGACACGCAGAGAACAGCTTGGCCTGGCCACTCCCGCACCCAGTGAATCCGCTCGTTGTTCATGTAGGCCAGAATCGCACTTCGGATTACCTAGTGAGGGAGGGAAAACGCCAATGATGAACAGGGCCTTGGACACACTGCACAACAAAAACTACAACTGCCAAGCTAGGTTAACCCATGATGCTCAACATATTTTTTTTCTGCTCAACATTTTAAACCAGCAATGAAAGAATGGCATAAAATATGGCTATTTAAATTTATTCATATATTTACAGACATATGCATTACATAACATTTTATGAATGTGGTTTTTTTAAAAATGTATTTTAGCATAGAGTCTACAGGGTCTCATTACATAGATCAGATTCATAGTGATTCTCCTGTTTTCAGCCTCCCAAGTCCTGGGATTACAGGTGCATGCCACCAGGTCCAGTCTGTCACCATCTCAGCGTGCCCCCAGGATGGGGCTGGTACAGCACACCAGGGTTTGAACCCCGGCTGCTGTGCTCTGCCTAAACAAGTGCTTTAGTCTGCTGAGCTATCTGGCCGGCCCTTACATAACATTTTATGTTGCCAATACATCATTCACTTGTATGAACTATATTATATAGTTATTTAAACAGTTTTATCCAAAGATATTCTATATACCTTTTAATTGAATAAGCATGAGTAATTTTATTATATATAAATATATATATTTTTTTTTTTTTTTTTTTTTTTTGGTTTTTTTTTTTTTTTTTTTTTTGGCAGAACCTGGGATTGAACTCAGGCCCTTGCGCTTGCCAGGCAAGTGCTCAATTCTACTGAGCTATCTCCCTGGCCCCCAAAATAAATTTAAATCATTTCAAAATGAGATTCATCAGATGTATGGCCAATGCTTCTCCTATTCCACAGTCAAGTCCTAGGTAGGACGCAGAGTCAAGTCCTTTACGTGTGTCCTGCTTTGGGGTCCACTCTCTTCTCACTCCTATGGGCCTAGAAGGGGCCAGGACCACACACTGGAGGAGAGACGAGCTGTGCAACAAGTGGTGCTGGGAGCAGTGGTGCTGGGAGCAGTGGTGCTGGGAGCTGCTGCCCATGCGCACAAGGCTCCACTTGGACTCATTTCTCTCACCACCTACCAAACTAAGATCAAAATGGATCAAAGGTCTGCCCGAAGATAAAACAGGTAAAGCTGTCCAAGTCATAGGCCTATGCAAGGTCCTTCTTCACAGAGCCCTGGTTGACAGGCAATAACACCAAGAGTTAACAAATGGGGCCATATTTAATTAAACAGCTCCTGCACACCAAGAGAAACAACCAATAAACAGAAAAGACAACCTACAGAGCAGGAGAAAATTTTTGCCATCAATTCCTTGGACAGAGGATTAATATCTAGAATACCCAGTTAGATAGGTAGATATAGATATAAACATAAAAATAAATTAGAGCCACAAAACAAAAGATCCAAGCAAAATGAGACCAAGTGAAATGAAGATACTTCACAATGAAATAGTAATGGTCAATAAACTAAAATATTCCTTCGAAGCATTTTGGCAAACACAATCATAAGTACAGGTGAGATTGTCACAGATGTATCTGTAGCAACGAGTTACCACTACTAGCAAACTCTATGACCCAACTCAGGACTGCTGGACAGTGGCTCAAGCAGGATCCCTCTTGTGTCACTGTGGTCACACAGACATGCTGTGGGTATTTCTCAAGGTCTACAAAACTCATTCTCCTTAGTCCACGGGTCTGACACACACATGGTTACCTAAGAAAATGGAGAATTAAATAAAAACCCCAACTCTGTGGACAGTACCTTAACTGTAATATAATATAAATAGGGAGAAAATGAAAACTTCCAAAAGATTTTATATTTGCTGGAAAATATTATGTGGGAGGCAGTAAAGCTATATTTAGGATAAGAAAAACATTTAGACACATGAGGATGTTAAATTCAGATCCTATTCAATTTTAGCATATATGGGAGTCTACAAAAAATGAATTAATTCCCTAGGCTTTTTTCATGCTCCCTGCTCCGTCATCGATTTTGGTCTTAAAGACTTGAACACCAAGCCCACATTATAGTAGGAAAGCGAGCAGAGGTGCTCAATCTTCATTTGGTGGTGCGACTTAAAATTCTCCACTACCAGATGCCAGAGCTAACAGCATGATTTACGTGGTGTGGAATGCACAGTTCCCATCAGCTGAGGAAAGCAAGTAGGACTGCAGCACTCTCGCATGGGTCTCGCACCTGTAGAGAACGGTAAGCTGCACGCGCATGAAGGGGACTGATGTGACCTCCAGGGCAGCGTGCACAAGGACAGACGGAAAGGACACCGTGTGCACTGTGTGCTTAATTATTACGTGACTGTACGAAATGCAACAGTGCAGTACTGCAGTCCATGTTTTCTTAGCGCGGAGAGCAGTTTGTCCCACTTCAAGTGAATCTCCACAAAATAACCACCTCAGCCCAGCTGTTGCCTCAAGTTACGTTACTGCTGAAGTGGCCCTTCAGGCCTCGACCTCTGGCTGAAGAGCCGTGCATCTGCTGCTGATCCGTCTACAACAGCAGAGACACTCCGGCACGCCTTTCTCCACACAGGAGCAAACCCACGCCGCCGGCTACCTTGTGGATGGAGCTGATCATGATTCTCTCCAGCTCAACCAGCCACTTCTCCACTTGGCCCCGGGCTTTCGCGGTGGAAATGCTCTCCATGAGCTCCACCACCTCGCCTTCGCTGCTCTTCATGTGCGTAATGTCCAGCGTTTCTGTAAACTCGACCTTCGCAATTCCTTCAAAGCATTTCTTCAAGTGAGGCTGCACCCTGCCGGGAAAATGCACGCAAAGGATGAACTAAGTGAAAGTGACGTCTCCCATATCCGTTTTTCAAATACACGCTTTTCAAACCCACAAATGACTAAGAGTTAGACTTGTGCTTGGATGAAAGGCTGAGCCTGAAAACAAGCACGCAGCAAGGCAAAACAGTCTCTGCCTGCATGGAGCGACACTCCGGGAAGAGGTCAGTATTAACTGAACAATCACAAAAGAGCTGTAGAGTCACAATGATAATAAAGCTACAAAGGGAAGAGACATTGTGGGTCTTCATTTTCCATATAATACACCGAAAGATGCTCAAAGGAGCAATAAAACCCCATTTTTTGTTTCTGTGAGACAGGGTCTCACTATGCAGTTCAGGCTAGCCTTGAACTCACTATGTAGCCCAGGCTGGCCTCACACTCAGTGCAATCCCCCTGCCTCAGCCTCCCGAGTGCAGGGATTACGGACAAGCACCACTATGCTTGGTCTAAACCACTTTTAACTAACAGATAAATACACTAATTTGAAGACTCTTCAACGTTATTCTAACGTAGTCATTACAAGTGAACTCTCCAGAGACTGCTTGAAAATTATGCCTTTAAGTCCTTCAATATTTTAAGTGCTCTGCAGTTTATTCAATCAACTGCTCTGACATAACCAACTGTTAGTCTATTCAATGTAATACGGATGGAAATGACTCAGCCCCTCATCTCTGGCATGCTACCAATAACCAGCTGCATTCATCTTTCAAACTGGAAAACAGAACCAGTGTATAAAATTCAGACAGAAATCTGAACCTAAATTTATCTTTAAAAAAAAAAATCTGAGAAGTACAGGTGAAGCAGGACCAGAGGCCTGGACCAGGACTTCTGAGATGTTAGCCTGAGAGTTCTTCTTTGATGGTAAACCCAAGACTGAGGTTTGTTTGCAGCGGCAGAGCATGCGGCAGCCAGGCTCTCACCCTATGTGTGACAGACTCTCCATCCTGACCTTTCTACGGGCAGGAGAGGTTCCAGAGAGACCTAGGAAAAAAGCCAGAAGTCTCCATCTTGTAAGAGTGCAGGTCCAGCGTGGAACCCTTCAGCAGATCTCTCTGCAAAGAGGCTAGAGGCAAGACTCACCCTGCTGATTCAGGAGCAGAACATCTTGCCAGAGAGACACAAAGGGTTCAACTCCAATGGCTGCAGCGGGAAGAAGTGGAGCACAGCAGCCAGACCCCAGCCAGATCCAAGCA